GTTTACGTTTTTGATAAGAAACGTTATTTGCAGGTCAAGTGGTACATAAAATGTTCAAACTGTGCAGTAGACGGTACGTGGATAATGGATATAAAAAGGTTGATGACCGCTGATATAGCAGAATATAGCAGATATGAAAATTTTAATTGTATTCACTAGCATGAATAAAGGTGCGCATTATAAATGAATGCTCAATAAAGTGTAAAACCAAATATTATTTTCATTTTTGATTAATGAAAAATACGACTTGACGTGCCGACGGCATTTGCTTTTCTATGTATATATATATATATATAGGTATGGGAATTGGGAACGACCAATGATATCGCAGATGTACCCTCGGGATGTTATGGGTATTTTAATAACTATCTACTGGATGGCAATCTACTCGAAGGTCGATGAATTCAAAAAGATTTCAAAAAAAAAATATGAACAAAAACGATATTATTTTATCCTTTAGGCGTATCTAACATATTATTATGCATTTCATGTGCATTTTTTTAAAACCATCATTTTATTGTTTTTAGGCAAAATAAAAGGACTACTTGTCTCGAAGGTTCGAGTGTCATATACGCGAGTTATGAGTTCATATTTTAAAAACTACGATAGTTGTAATCATATAATTTTGATGCGGAGGCATTATTGATGTACCTACCTACGGGAGAAATCCGCCTTGTTGCCTACAATGATATAATATGTATAAGGACGCTGATCGTTTGTACTCAATTTTTAAGGTCAGACTCATCACTTATCCAGTCATCTAATATTATTATAAGTTTTCGTCTTATTGTTTATATAAGAAATAAATAACGTTTTAAAAAAATAATTTTTTTTTTGTCATTCAAAATAAAAAAAAAATAATTGGTTAAAGCTTGAAATAAATATATAACTATCAATATTATTACGGGATTATAATACAACACCCATGACCAATAATAAAATTGACCAACGATAATTATTGTTGAAGTACAATTTAAGTCAATTAATAGTTATAATTTTAGTAAATATTGTGCAGATAGGTAGGTTACATCAACACTTGTCAAGTGATAGAACTATAATAGACGATAGGCGTATAAGTGTTATATCGAAGGACAAACAATCTAACTACAGGAAAAATTAACTGCACCGAGTACCGACTGAACAACAAAGATCTAAAAGAGATATTACGTGCATTATAATTTTAATATTAAGCAATAAAATAATAATAAGTTAATAACGCGAGTTATGATAACACAGTTATGATGAAATTAACACATATAAAGCTACTTATGATATTTAGCATCAGCATATTGTTAATGTTTGATTCACGACAATATTTTATTTTTATTTCGATACAGTTTCCTCATAAACTGATATAGATGTACCTAACTACATACCTTGTGTCCGTGTTTAAACTAAATTTAAAAAAAAAACCATATTTTAAATCGTTATTAATTATTATATCTTAAATGATTATAATATCAATGTACCTTAAAGATTTTTAATCGTTTAGTAATTTATTATAGTATGAAAACTAACCTACATATTATGAAGATAATAATATTTAAATTAGGTATTCTAAATAGGTAGGTATCTAAATCTAATAGTCATAATTATCCAGTTATTATCCAGTCTTTGATAATATTTTAGGTACCTAGGTACTTATAAATACTAATATATTTTAATTGAAATAAATTATGTACCTATAGTCTGTACATATATTTGTATTTTTATTTATTCTTTCAAAAAGACAATGGGCCCACTGAACAGATTCATGTGGGGCATAGAGATCTTATATCTAACTAATAATTGTAATATATCTATAATATAATTAAAATAGTATATACTATATACTTTATGTAGACACGTAGACATGTAAAAAATATTAAAAATCCTTGGTCACGTTTTACGTGAAAGAGTAACAAACATACTTACAAACTTTCACGTTTATAATAATAGTATGATGTTTATCGTTAATTATTATTTATTTAATTATTTTATATTTTTAGTTAAAAAAATAAAAAAACATTACGACTTACCTATACTTACTCATTTTGAAATAAAAAACACAATTGTTAACTATACCTGCATAATTTGTAGACACTTATAATTCTGTATAAAATGGGAAGGAGAAATGAAAATCCTTTTAAAATAGTTCGGAACCAATTCAGATACATGTGCCATTTCAATATCAGCTTGTACATTTTAGGTAGCAAGTGTTTTTTTTCTGAGAATTTGCTGAATGTGCAAAACGATCATCATTATACTTGCACTGAGTTGCACGACGTATACCCAACAAACAAAACCACTAACAGAAAACGTGTTTAAAAATATCAACTACCGCCTTCATATTTTTACCTCATTGCTCATTGAATGTATTGCCTATGTATGATTATATGTATAATAATTATTACCTATCTATACGCCTAACTCAAATTTATATAAGTTGTAATTTGCAACGTTTTTTTTTATAATTATTTTCTTCAAAAATCACATACACGGTAAAAAATATAATTAATGAGTGCTAGCATATTATAATGTTCTGTATTACACGTGTAATTGCTATTTGCACCATTAGTTATAGATCATACTTACTATGTAAGTACCGTTTGTAACTTGGCGGCTGGCGTATCTATGCCCAAAGGCACTGGACCAATTTGAGTAGATAACCGTGATCCACATGTAGGTAGGTACATTTGGTTTATATAAATATAACTTATTTGATTTATGTGTAGTACTATTGCATACGTATTTAAGTGTTTCTCAAAAAGTATACTTCTAATATTTAGCGTATTTATGATTTTATTTGAGAAAAAATTCTTCTTTACTAAGTTTAACAATATGAATTATTAATTATTATAATACCTATTGTGTATCATTTCGTGCTTATTGCCAAAAATAGCGATAGATAAACCAATAAGAAATGCACGAAATAATTATAGAAAAACTCTTTATAACGGACTCCCTATAAGATGGAAATCACCCTAGAATGGAAATAACAACTATGTACCGTATATTTTAGTCTCCTCTTAAAGAAAAACTCTTTTTAACGGAAAAATTTGTTGGTCCCAAGCGATTCTGTTATAGAGAGGTTTCACTGTATTACGTAAACAAACGCTGGTATTTCAGTCGGGGGCAATGTTCCGATAACGTCAGATAAGCATTCTCTAACGTCGCCTCTGAGTTCGTACTTGACGTGTACATAAATAAGCACACACGACTGTTAATAAGTTGAATTGCGCATGCGCAGTGATCATCGTGAGGCTCGATTTTCATCGCTCATGTTGACTTAAAATAGATGCGGTAGACTGGTATTATAATGGCAATTATAATTACATTTCAACATCAAAACACATAATCAATAAATTGTTATTTTTTACAGCCATAATTAAACCGTTATATTATTGTAATATTAATATTTAATATAATATATTTCACTATTTCAGACTTCAGTCATGTTCGAATCGTCGATTGTGTAGTTGTGTTCGTTTAAGTTTGTTTACGCATGCTGCCGTGCTTTCTATTAAATTCCATTTATTGTGAAGTATAATTCTTGTGCTATGAAATGGGGGAGGGTTGATACATATCGGTATGAATAAATAAATAAATAAATAAGTCACCTCAATAAAAAATGCACTGATTCTACCTCTACAACAGGCGAGTGCAGCCCGCGGGATGGATCCTGCCAGCGGAAGTATTCCAACAGTGAAAAGTTTATAAAATTAGACATTTGTATAGGTAGGTGCATATGCGGAAATTTCAGGGGGGTTAACATTATTAACATCAATGAGAGCGGGGGGGGGGGGCGCTAAGAAGAATTACGATTTAAAAAAAATTTCATTTTATTGAGCTTTTTAGAATTATAAAATATCTTACAATTGTATAGTTTCTATTTACTAATGACGCAAACAAATTGTTAACTAGCGAGTAGCGACTAGTGTGGAAATATTCAATTAACTAAAATACCATTAAAGTATATTGAAAAGTATACTTAAAGTAAAACTATATGAAAGTATATTCGGCCCGCAGTATAAATATGAATTTTGGATGTGGCCCGCAAGTTGAAAAAGGTTGGGTACGACTGCTCTAGTCTGCTCATACCACTTTCGATGCCGATCTCGGGCAAAACAGGCCCTCAAGACATAGAAACTTTCCACACACCAATAATAAATAAAACATTACATGTTATTCAACAAGTTTATAAATGATTGTTAATGCTGCAGCCTGCAGTGGATTTTAACTAACATTTTAATTTTGATAATTGTGTACCTATAAGTATAAGTATAAGTATAAGTATAAGTCTAATAATGAAAAAATTAAATAAAACATTAAGATTCAGGAATAATATAAGATATTAATTATAAGGATATAAATATCATTAATTACTTGTATATTATAATAAACACGACACACAATAGAATCATTAGCTTTGTAACTACAATTGTATATTTTAATTGTGTATCCAAAAGCAAAACTATTTAATTTTTATATTATTCAATAATTATCAAATATATAAATTAAGTACTCAAATAAAATAAAAGGAATCAGATCAAAGTATATTTCATAATACAATTGATTTAACATTGTATATAATGTATATATACATATATAAAAACAAAATACAAACAATAATAATAAGTTATTAAATAATCTGATAAAATTTGGTCATAGTTCTAAAGATTAAACACACATAAAAAAAATAAAAAAAATAAATAAACAAATGAAAACTATTAACCACAGTTACTTAACAAAACGATATGTTAAATCTATTACAAAAAATGCCTTGTAGTTTTCTTTTTTTCGTCAAAATACATTTATTGCTTAAAAATGTTTATATCACAAAATTACATTTAATTATTATAAAATCTGTATAAACCATAACCGAGCAATAATAATATAGAAAATATAATAATAGATTTGTATATATACTATATATACATTCACAGATAAATTGTATATCTTAATTAACTATTAACGTATAGTTGATCATAATAGAATAGCCTTTAAATAATTTACATAAATTAACGTGAAGACTTGAGCTTCCATCGGAGAAATATGAATGCAGATATACGTAGCACAAAGAATATTATAATCAAGGCAACAATATCCAAAGAAAAGCTTGCATCCGTCATATCTAATTCCCTTAGTGTAGTACTCGGTTTTTTGAAGTGGCAATAAATCTAAAATTTAAAAGATTTTAAACCATGTTTATGACATCATATAAAATATTGCTTATATACCTGGTGACATTGGAGAATTGTTCGATTGTAACCATAAGTAGCCAATGCTGTGCCTTCAAAACCATAACGGATATAACTTAAGTATGTGATCCATCTCAAATAAATAGGTATAGCATCAAAGCTCACAAAGAAACCAGAGAACAGCAAGAAAGGTACAGACATGACTGGTGCTAAGAACACTCCATTCTAAAAAAAAATAGTGATTTTAGAATAATTGTAATGTAATTATTATTTAATACTATCAACTTTAGTTTACTTACTTGTACATTCATCGCAGCTCCAACTACGAGTCCAACACTTTGAGCTACAAATGATATGAGAAGACAGGCTGATAAGAACATACCAAATCTGAACATTTCAAGTGGTTGTGAAGTCATGTAATACACAATACCCACATACATGACACAAAATATTGCCTAAACAGAAAACAAAAATGAGACTAATTTAATATGGCAAAATATTTAATAATAATTTTTATTACTATGGCAAATTGTAAAATTTATCGGATATTGATTTATTATACTAATATAAAAAAAATTACCTGAAACGGAATATCTGATAATGTAATTGCCAAATAATATGATCTAAGAGAATACCATCTATTAAAATTTTCTTTTATCAAAACGGGCAACTCTAGAGGGACTGTAAAAATGGATTAAATATCTTGATTAATATGTAATTTTTTTATCAAACAATTTAATTGCTGAACTTACATGATAAAATGGTGATTGTCATTGATGTGTACATAAGGAACAACATGTTGAAAAATAAAAATCCAAGATTACTAAGTACTTTGGCGCCATCGTTACCAATATCATAATACAAAGAACCAATTAAAAATCCGACCAAAATGTGTGCAAACAAACGTAAGTACATAAGAGTCTGAAATAAGATTAACCAGTTGTTATAGTATAGTATTTTTAATCCATTTATAAATATTTTTATTTATTTATTTGACTAATTTTATAAACCCGTACCCAATCTCTTCTGCTAAACAGTAATGTCCGCCTGAGAACAATCCAAAATTGAGCAAACTCAGATGTAGCATATCGCTGTTGACTACTTGGTAAACCGTTCTTTAATAAGGTATCAGTTGCTTCATCTGCATTATTTAGATTTCCAGTTTTAATAGAACTTAATTCTGTATTAATAGCGTCATCTACAATGTAACAAAAAGTAATGTAATGTACATATTATTATGATGCAATGTAGTTCATGAAGAATTTATACAACATTAAATGAGCACTTACCAGGTTTAGAAAATTGATTTCCTGAATACTGCAATAAACTATCAGAATCCACAGATTTTGATAATTTATCTATTTCAATGAAGTTTGAAGACAAGTTGCTACCTGAAACCAAAAAAAAAATTAAAATTAAAAAATGTCGATTAGTTTAATTGATGAAACAATGAATAGAAATATTTACTTTTCATTATTTCCTTCTGGTTGACATTATTCAAATTTTCTGGTTGAGGGAATGGTTTACCAACTTGAATATCATATTTTCCATTGTTAATGGCCGTCACCAATTTGCGTACATTGTCACCATACTCGCCACATGACACCTCGATAACTGCACAAGGAATTCGATTAGCACACGTCGAGTTTATTTATTCGAGAACCTATTAAGTTTGACTCACGGTAAGAAGCGGGATTATGATAACTGGGACATTCGAGTCCGAGGGTGCCGAGGAAAGGGACGAGTTGTTTCGTGGATCCCTGGTAGACACACTGTCCTTCGGCAAGGGTGTACAGATGGTCAAACATCTCGAACAGCCGAGCACTGGGTTGATGAATCGTACAGATGATTGTACGGCCGCCACGACTCAGCGATTTCAGCAGGGAAATACATTGGAAACAAGAACTACTGTCTAAGCCACTGAAATTGTATAAATTAACATGTATTAATATTTGGACGTGTTTGGACGTTTATCGTGGTGCTAGTAATGTGTCTAACCTAGTTGGCTCATCGAAAAACATAATGGGAGGATTGTTCACAAGTTCAAGAGCAATGGACAAACGTTTTTTTTGTCCACCTGACAAATTGCTTGTCATTGTCCTTCGGTGTTCTTGTAAACCTAATGTTTCTAATATTTCTTGAATCTGAAAACAAAGTTAGATTAACGAAAAATTTCGATATTTATTTCCGAGCTCATATTTGTTTTTGTTGGTTGTAGGGGACGGCAATAATTGAAAAATAAACATTAAACAGTACGTGTACTGCGACTAACCACTTGATATTTGCTGTCCTTCGATATGTCTGACCCTAACTTTAGCGAAGTAGCCACTTGCATAGCTTCTTCTACAGATAAATTGGCATGGAGCTGATTGTCCTGCATAATATAACATGATAGTTTTCTGAATTGACTCAAATTTCTTTCGTGTCCGTTAATCGTGATGGAACCTTTAACTCCAGAACATCTGAAAAGTAAAGCGGAACATACGGTATTAACACATATATAATTATTATTTAATATATATTATGATTACAAAATTCTATTGCACATGTTTTGTATTACCTACATACAGTGATAAATGGGTGTATGGGTCAACATTGAACAGAACCAACAAATGCCATAGTACGGAAAATAAATGTATATCTCGCGTGATAAAATATGAATCAACAACAAAGGAATATGTAACAATAACCAATACACTTAACTATCATAATGAACTTTATAACACTGCAGTGAACATACCATACAGACACCTTGTCCAGTTGATATGGACTAAATAATTATAATCAGTTTCTATATTGCAAACAAAAGCATTTAACATTGGGTGAAAAAAATCACATTTAAAACACTATAAAAGGATTTTCTAATCTTCTGCTACTCCTCCGATAGTAAAATTCAAAGCAATATAAAATATAATACGAGACAACGACTTAATAATGATCGGTTATAATAGTAACATTAAATAAACTGTTTTTACTTGTATCCGGTGAGAATATTCAGCAGTGTGGATTTCCCGGCACCGGATGGCCCCATGATGGCAGTCAACTCGCCTGATCTCAAACGGCCGCTTACGGATTTTAAAATATTTTTGGAAGCTGAAAGAAAGAAAATATAATAAATTATAAACACAAAATAAACAAAGTATTTTAATTTAAGGCGAACGGCAGCATCTCAGCGATCAAAATATCATATAGAAAAAAGTCGCGCTGCTGTACAGTAGGTTACAAGTGGGTCACTGTAATGGATGGTGTTAAATTTGAATTCAATGATATAATATCATTGTATAAGAAAAATGATTCTGAGCGAAAACAGACAGTCAGCCTATGATATTACGAAGTATATTTGATGATATTAAGGTGAATAAATTAATTTATATATAACCTATTTACGTGGAATCATGTTTTAAATTTTTAATCCTAAGCTATAAAAGTTGAACATTTTTTAAATTTTTAACTACAAAATTGTTATTAAATTTTAAATGTGATACATTTTGTCAACATTTGAACTTTAAATTATCTGAAATATTTTTTTTCTTCAATCTTAAAGCGACTAAAAGCTGAAATATTGGATTTGTGTGTATATCTAATCAAGATATACATCAGAAACCGTTAAAAACGTCACACTAAAAAGTGATTTTGTTTAATTCATTTTCCCTATATATATAATATATATATATACCTATAATATACTTATAATATACCCATAGATACACATAAAAATTCAACATTTTGGATCTAATGTCCGTATGTGAAACATACATTGACCATGCATACATTAGTCAATGAAAAAAACAATCTCCTTTTAATAAACAATTTCGTTATAAAATCCGTTAAAAAAATATATTTCGGAAAACTATTGAGTTTTAAGGATTTTTCCTTATGAAATATTTTCATTGTTATGCCGCTGATCCTCGATCTTCTCCATATCTTCGACGGCCTCAACATATATTGCAGTTGTATTACAGAAACAACAGACTGAGTAACTATAAATATTTTTTGTTTCGCATTATCGTGCCAGTATTTCAAATAAGACTAGCACGCCGGGAAACTCAAAATGATCCAACAGTCATACGCAAGAATTTAAGAGTTGTTTTAATCAAAATCAACAAAATTTAATACCTAGGCAAGTGTTAATTATATGTATATTATGTAGTGTAAAAATGTCAAAAAAAAATTTACCAACTACCTACGTTTTACGTACGCGAGTCGCGAATGTTAAGTAAGGTCATCAACCATGACAAGTTTCTCATCATTTCCGCAATTGTTTATAGGTACTCTATTTCCATATATTTTAACATCAATATTGTGAGTTATGCATACAAATATGATATTGTGAAACACATTTTATTAAACAGCGGTTAAAGGCAACATATAATGAGCTCAATTTTAAAATCCATATTATATAATTAGTTACCTACAGAGAGAATAGCAGTAAAAAATAAACACACAAGTCGCTACAATTTTTTAACATAAGACTCAAGTTCAAAAAATGTTATACATTCTCTTGAATGATATAGGTTACAAATAAATATCGATGATAATTGTGCCTGACATTATGATTTGAAATCGGATAACGTTGTAAACAGCTTATAATTATTCTAAAAGAGGTTATATAATATTTATAGAAGGTATTCGCTAGTAGAAATGCATAAAATAATATGAATTAAATATCATGAACGTATTTCATCCGCTATGTAGGACCTTCAAAAATAATGGATATATTTTGTGCAGAACTACTTTTAGTAATAAAGTAATAATTTAGTAATAAAGTAATAGTAATGTTATAAAGTTAAATAATCACATGGCATGTTTTCTGATTGGAGATTCCAGAAGTACAAAAATATATGGAATAAATAAATAATATTAAATTACAATAACAATATGAAATATACAGGCTTTCCAGAGATAATATGATTAGGGGTTCTCCTTATGTCTGAAAAGTTTTATGCTATAATATTATACGAGTGAGAACAACCGGTCTGTTCGAGGACACTCCACAAATCGTGACCTTGCATTTAAAGCCTGACAAAGATTCCTTCGGTTAGTAAAAAACTAATGGTCTATGTTTAAGTCAATGGTTATAACTTATAATGTACACATTACTAGTCATTAAAATTTCGCTAGGAATTATCTACACACATGTAATGTAATACTTGATAATCCTCGTTATTTTAATGTGCTATAAAAACAATGCTAATTTCATTTTTTAAAAGTCACAAGTAAAAAAAAATAAAAAAAAAAAAAATTTAAATTACTCCTACTTAGGCGTTGAATAAACAACATACAAAAACACCACTAATTTCATAAATTTTTAAATGATCAGTGGTATGTAACAAAAATTATTATCACCGCATACAAAAAACAATACCTATTCAGAACGGATCCCAGCCGTTTGCCCATAAATGATCAAAATATTTTTCAGAGTTCATGGTTTCTTTGCAGTTTATTTTTGATTTGCTCAAGGTTGCTAAAAACTATCAAGTAATAGCAGCTGTTTCAAATACAAACTTAAATCTTAAGTTCAAATTTACAACCTATATGGGTAATCGTAGGTGCTTTATAAAATATTAAGGTGGTTAGTGTTCAAAAATAAAAATAATTAATTCTAAATAATAACCAATAAATACAAAGCTTACAGCACACCCAAGAATTTTAGTTTAAGTAATACTTTTTTAGCATTTCTATAATTATAAATATCATCGAATTTAATATTATTCATACAATAATTACAAGGATTCAATGTTTTATTTTATATTTTTAGAGACAGCACAATGAGGAAATTGCCTTTAGAACATAATAACTAATAAGTGAGAGTCATGTATTTGTTATTGAAATACACAAACGAGTTTTGGTCATGGATAAATAGTGATCGAGACACATCCGGTGGTTATGGATAAATGCGAGGAATGAGAAGTATTGAAGAATATAATACGTTATGAATTATGCATATAGACTTAAATAAAAAACTAAAATAAAAGTCTAACTATAACGAAATTAAATGATAAGACAATTCCTAAATGGAATAGATAATGCCGGCCGACAGGAAAAATGTATAATTATTAATTACCTAATAAACAATAGAAAAATGTATACCTATATATATAATGTAGGTATATCAACAGTTCAATATCTAATGGGTTAAATTCCAATATTTTTAATAAATACATTTTATTATTATTATTAATGTGTTGCATAATATATTTATTTGCTGAATATCACTATTGATTAAAATTCACCAGGTGAAATCGCGTTCAATATTTAAACACGTATTATGGATCAATAAAGACGGACATCGCCCGAATAAGATATGATTAAACTTAAAGTTCAAAGTTGTGATATTGCCTATTTAATTATAACTGAACATTCATCTTTTTTTCGTTTAAGACGGATATTAAATTTGAAAAGGAAATAAGGTGAATATCATGAATATTAGGTACTTATTAGTTATATTAACTAATCGAATATGCAATATAAATTTATAAAATTTTTAAATCCACATTTGAAGCAAACATTTTCTTCTACTGCATTCGGGTGAATGATATAATAACGGTTATATTATTATAGGTGAGTATAAGTTGTAGGTAGGTTTAAGTTAATAGTATATAATATATATATATATATATGTTATTAAATTCATATTTAAGCTATGTATCCATTAAATATAAGATATAAAAAGGCAATTAATATTTGTATTATTATTCTATATACCTACCTCCTTATAGATTGTACCTAATTGTTTTCAAACAAATTATGATAATGTAATTTCGTTTGCAGGGGATTGATAATTATGGAGACATTGCCTCTTCTCTATAAAATGTGTACAGGAATTATTATAAATTCGTATATATCTCTATCATAAACAGATTTTTGTGGTTACTATATATTCAATATTAATTAATAATAGGATAGTGAAACGCAATGTTAATTTAAATTTGGTGGTAGCAAAACTGTTACTGTTCCTGAAAATATCTTGTTACAATTTGTTTTATAAATGGAAGAATTTGAATTACCACCTAATACTTTGATTTAATACATTATACAAATTAAAATATGTAACCTTCGAGTTTTAATGTCATGTATAGGTATTAGGTATAACCTCATTTAATAATTTAATTCAAAACGTAAAGAAACTAACATGTATCGAATTTGCATAGTAACGAAGAACACCAAGCATACAACCATAAATAAAATAATTAGGTACCTAGGTATAATACTGATATAGTAGCTTTTTGATACCTATCCTGAAGTATAATGGAAACAATTAAAATCCCAATGTTTTTATTAAGTTTTGTTGTACATTGCACAGTTTGGAAAACACTGTTTAGGAGATCCAATGATTTTCACGGACTATACCTTTGGACTGCAGGTAGGGGGAGTACTCGACCTTCTGGCCTTTCCCTCTTATTAATCGTCGCTGAGTATTTGGTAATAATTTATTATAAATTATTATGAAAAGATTTTGCTGCAGCAGGGTACACTATAGCTAATGTAGTATTATTTTTAAAATTTTAAAACCAGCAGGGGAAAAATAATTACAAAAGAAATCTGCCCAGCATAATATACGCCACTGGTATAAGAGAGATATTATTTCCAACCATTTATTAGCTATACATGTAACTAATATTATAACGGACTTGGACTCAAAAACAATAACAACTACCTAATAAGAAAACAATAAGAAAACGCTGATTCGTCGGCCTTCGCAACAGTAATAATTTACCTACTGTAATAATATAATATGTGTCCGACATAATAATACGCGTGATCAAGATGGACTTCAGACGTTCATAAATTAATTGTACGTTGTGTCATAAATATCATGTTTTAGATTCCCGGTGTGACCTTATATCTATCACAGATCTGCTTATAACCTACTTACGTTAAATATTTAGACATATTATGTATTCGCACCGTCATTATCAAATATTATACAGTTAAATTGGCCAAATTAACCTTATTCCCAAATTTAAACTGCATTTCATTATTATATGAACCGTATAATCAGGATAATACGTTTTATAAAGTAGCGTGAATGAGTGAGGAGGAGGGCATAGGGGTAATGAGTTGTAATTATATGTAAATAATAAACGTGTTCATAAAAACCAAAAATTGACAACATTTCTGAAAGGACGCGTACAAACATACCCATCAACTTTTAAACCCCATCTATTCATATTAGTTAATATGTAAACAAACCGTATACCTAAATTATACCGCGATGATACCGATGGTAGAAAGGCCAAAATGGTTAAGTATCGAACATGACAATATCGTCTGAAATGGCCTTGTCGACACAAATAAAATAATACACAATAATATAACTAGGTAACATAATTACTATTCGTCAACTCGACTAGTCGATTTTACGGTATAAATACATACATGTTTTTTTAAAATTTGCAACATAAAATTTCAATATATATAATACGAACAAGTTCAGTGGGGACCATTATCTCTTGAAGAATAAAAAAAAATAAAAAAATATATATCTGCGTAGGATATAAAATATATGAATATAATGTATGAAAATATAATGTTTAAATATACACTCACTGTTTTTGGTGCCTTCGGTCACGGTGTACATGAGGTCGGAGAAGGCGATGTCCACAGGCGGCCTCTTGGGCAGGTGACTCAGGGTCTTGGGCTGGCATGGCGTGATCGTCACTTTGACCGCGCCAGATTTCCTGTCAACAGACACGGGATCGATAATTAAACGGCCGTCTTGTTTAACGGTGGACAGCTCGTCCATGGGAACGACGATGGATTCATCGATTATGGTCATGATGAATAATTATCGCTTCAGCGGCAACAGGATGAAAACTTTTGCGCTCGGTGTTCGATAGTACGTCTATATATTTATATATATACGTATATATATAAATAATAGTTGTACGGATATCAGCGTCCGGTTTCCGTACGGATTGAATTCGAAAAGAATAAAAAACCTATTTTAAATATCACGCATAATCCGATCGGGAACGTACGAGGACCGTTTGCCTGCAGTTCATCGCAACCACTACCTAGCTGCATAATATTACTAATGTTGGACTTGACTACGTATTAGCCTGCGCGCCGTAGTAGCGCGGCGCTCGCGTATATATATAATAATATATAACGTATATAATAACAGTTGGCGACTGAATGTTTTAATAGTAGGGACTAGGAAATAACCTTTGTTTGCCTTGAAAGACACCGCCGTCATTCCCCACTTCTAGTGACGACTCTATGTATATGTACGCGGTAAAATTACGAGCTTGCATACGCACACTACCTATTTCCGATAGCCAAGCAAAATAGTAAAATCAAAATAATACTATCGTGTGTGTGTGTGTAATAATAATTGTTATGACGTATTGTTATGACCGTGTGCAGTTGGTCTGTTCGTCGTGAATTTAAACGCCACAAGGATAATTTTTCTGCGTTATTCTATTAGATGTATACAACTATACAGACTACAGTATTATAGTATCAATAAAATGAGCACGATGTACTATAATAAGCTTTTAATTCGTTTTTAAGCACTACGTGGAGTAGAATGTAAATCGATAATTTGGTTTTTAAAACAACGTTACGCGCAAGCAGGTACCCCCCACACCTAAAGTCGAAATACTACCAAAATGCTATATATAGTTGGCACACCCCCTCAGTGACACTGCTGTCTGCTATTTTAAATCGATACAGGACTTTTATTTTATAGTTTTTATGGTCTATTCGATTACTTTAAAATAATTTATTTTACTAAATAATATTATTATAACATATTAATGTGTCATCAACATTTTATAACTCAATCAATAACAGTGTTCATCAACTTGTGGCATCGACGTGTTTAATTTTATTTCTATACCTACTTATTTCATGTTCTAATAGAATATTATTATTATTTTTTTTGGTGTAGGTACTAATATTATACTTAAAATAAACTGATAAATAATCCGGATAAATTGTATAACATTTAAACATAAACTATGGAGTCACTAAAGTCGAGTCTAAAAGTAAATACAATATAAGTACCTTAAATCAAATGATTTTACAGCTGACTGATAAATATTTCATAAGTATTTAGTTCATATAGTCAGTATTATATTAATTGGCTGCTAATTTATTTAATAAGAATATTGAATAACTTAACTTAAATATATCCAACACAAAAATTCACATAATGAATGTTCAACAATTGAATACGAAAACAACATTAGGTTTACTATTGTTCCTAATTTATTTGTATTCAATTCATTCAAATAAAAGTATTTATCATACGTATTTTAACCTTTGCATAATATGTATAACATAACTCTTGAAGTACCTATACAGACAATGTGATTATGTGATACCAAATAAGAGGAGAAAAAATTGTTATTAGTATGTAGGTAGGTATAGCCAAATAGTTTTCCTTTCTGGCAAGTTGACAACATCACTAAATACTCGTATTTCGACCCGATTATATTATATAATATATATAGTATATATTGAAATGGGGCGGAAGGAGGAATGAGGTGGAATGAGCTTCTGAGGTAATTTTCATATTGTATTAAAAGTTGTATTTGTATGTGTTTTGGTAATTTTATTTTGTGATAAAAAAAATAAACAAAATCTCTATGGCTTGAACAACTTTAAAATTGTTTTACCAATTTTTTTAAATTTTAAAATGATTATTAACCTAGCAATCGTATTAATATACGTCTATGTGGTGGATGGGTCAAAATGATTTAAATTTTCTATTTAAAAGACTAGATTTATTGTAGAACCACCTATTCAGTATTCGTATTTGTATATGTATACGTTATACGTATATAAATACTTACATAGCTTATATAGATAAATTTGTATATTTATTCGCGTATAGTTATTAGTTAATCAGTATGCCAATTCCACAAGCTGCAATATTACCTACTATTGTTGACATGTGATCTGACAAACAAAAAGTATAACTTACTGTATAAGATAATAATAATATAAGACATGTTTATAATCCATAAACATTAGAATTTAGAATATAATATTGTAACTGGTACAAACTGGAGTTTTAGATGGTAATAAATGTTTGCATTACTTTAAAAACAATTAACCACTAATCACTGCCACCGATTTTACCATATTTTGTTTCGTATATTTGTGTGTATAATTAGTATACAGGCATACATAATTGTGTATAATAAAGACCTTACGATAGATTTTTTGCATGTATTATGTATTATGTGTTTCTATTCAAGCATATTTAAATAACTCTATTGAAAGGAATAATTAATGAGTTTTTTTTTTATTATCTCATCGTAGGTCACAATAATATAGAATGTGTGATACTGTAATAGTAAACGCTATTAATTTAATAAACCGAATATAATAATATATTTATCTTTCCCATTTTGATTAACGTTAAATACGATTTAAATTATATGGAATAGATTAACAAGTATTATACACTACACTCAACACATAATGCACAATATATAGAAACAATAACATTAAATGAAAATTATAGACTGCAGTATAGAATCCAAATTTACCAGCCTACCAAGATTAGAGGCATACAGGGAGGGGGAACTATACCAAATACCCATAATGAAATTGCAGGTTCAATTATAAAACCATGTCATATACCTAATGTATATGTATATGTCATAATTCAAACCCCTAGCCCCTAGGTCCCTTAATAAATGCAATTGGCCCATAGTAAAAATAACTTCTATATACGCCACTATTATAAGTTTGTCACAATAAAACACAGAATGTTAAAATGGTTTGTTTGAACATTTTTCATTCAAAACTAAGAGAGGACAAGGACATCCACAGGCATCAATGCATCATATAATTTTGAACCTAGTCGTATAATAGGTCTACATAACATCTCGTACATAACATTTTATGGCAGTGTTTTTAAACGTGATATAGAAATACGTTTAATAAATAACTTACTGAAAATATAGTTATGTATATATTTTTTTTATATTTCATTTAACCTTTGACAACCAAAGGACTTGCTTAATATCTAAAATCGATTTAATAACAAATACATTTACTCAAATTTATAATAAACATTTCGTAGTGTTTGAAATAGGTATAAAGTATTTCATTATCATCAAATCCGCATGCGTCATATTAAATTATATGACCCGTGTATGAATACTAAGAATAATATATTTTGTTCTTATTTTCAAGAATTATAATAATATGTAAGTATTTTGTAATTTATTAAGTAAGTATACTCATAAGTCATATTAATAAATCAACATAATAATTATTACAGACATCTAGGTATTCATGGCGAAATTAATATTACTAACTAATAAGACTAGACGTGCATACGCAGTATCACACAGTGTGACTACCACCCTATTGCTATAAATATTTCGTACAATTCCAACATCCGATTAGAATTATAGGTCGTACTATTAAATAATAATGCCATACACTCCGTAAATTGTGAGTTATATGTATAGATATTTATTGTAATAATTAACATCACACTTGTACATGTTTATTTTGTAATAACGACCGTTATGTTACAGCCTTCGATAATCACCTAGGGATTTCAGTATACTTATAACTTATAAGCATTATTTTGTCGATTGACGAAACAAATTTATATAAATTATAATAGTTAATAACATGTTGCTTAAACAAATTTCGCAGGCAAATGCATTACACCAACTCCTCACCAATATACAATTTAATTGGTTTGAAATGTATATACAATATACTTATGTATAATATTCATGATCATCAAGATTATTAATACACTTATTAATATATGAAAATTAAAATATTTAATATTTGTATAACGGAGCACTATTTAAATCAAATAAATTATATGTAACAAAATATGCAATTTATTATTAAAAACTACACATCTCTTAATCATTTTATGTTATTGAATTATTTTTTACGCAATGATATAGATATAAGTTGAATACGATAAAATAATAACCCATTATTTATAGCAATTATTATGATTTTTAAAACATGATTTATGATCTATTTGAAATATCGGATTCATTAAACGCTATAATATAGTACGTATAATGTGTATATTTATTTAAGGGGCCTGCACGCGACCTGTTTTTTTGCTCAAAAACATGCCTTACAGGAAAAACTCTCACGCCTCGTAGATTGGTCCGATTTCCGTATTTTTTTTTTTGTTAGATAGAGGAAGACTTCTTACAGGGCGCATTGGACTTGGATTTTTCAATATTATTTTTCTAAATCTTATGTTACAAGTTTGAATTTAATCAATTTTTACAACTTTTTAGTTTTTGTATTATTTTTTGTTTTTAGCGACGTAATCAAAAATCGAAGTCCAATGCGCCCTGTAAAAAATATTCCTCTATCTAACAAAAAAAAAATTACGGAAATCGGACCAATCTACGAGGTGTGAGAGTTTTTCCTGTAACCTGTGTTTTGACCGATATAATACACCCTATCAACCCCCCCTAAATAGGTATTGGGGAGTAGATTAGTGGAAAAGTCTTATAATTGGAGGTGGCAACTAAAATATAAAATTTAATTTTCAAATTTTATAGAATTGCGGAAAATTGGAAAAATCGCGAGCAGGCCCCTTAATATATTATAAAGTAATGTAGGTACTGTATGACTACACATGACTCCCGGGTTGAGAATCGCTGATGTAAGATACGTGGAGGTACAGCGTACACGACGTGTCGAATACCAAATATAAATAATTAAAATATGGATATAAAATGTTGAAGCCTTAAAAAACGTATAATGCAAAACAAACTACACGCGTGTCACTTATGTTGTGTTACGTAACTGCAATGTTTTTAATAGGTTCTGTTTTTTTAATATATAATTTACATTATTAATGGTGTAAACACATACAAAAATACTATGTACTACATACCTATTATATACATTTAATTTTATAACGTTGTGTCATTACACATTACTCAACACAATCATCTCACAAAAAGACATTCTCCGTCACCCATCAACATTATAACGATGCTGACACCGACTTTCTATTAGTTATAATTCTTTTATTTTTATTCTAAAATGCATTGTCTGGTAATATAACATTCTAAATTGATTTAAAGTGCCAATATATTAGTAAATCAAATATAAATAATAGTGTGATTTAACGAATCTAAAATCAAATCAAATGATTTTAGTAAAATCATAAAAATTTCGACTTTAACTAAGATATTTGATTTACATTAAAAATTTAAAAAAAACCATCCCTATCAACCCAAAATTGCATGCTTGCATGTTTAATACTCTTTTTCCAAACATTTCGATCTCATAATTGAGAAAATATGTATTACCGAGAAATTCATTATATAATAACTTTCTATTAAAATAATTATAACTATTTTAATACTATAAAATACATTTTAGTATTGCACTTACAATAATGTATTGCGTGTTAACAACAGACCCAAAGAAGCAAAGCAACAGCAACAGCGATGTATAAGTTGTAAGAATATTCAAATAATTAAAATTTGATAATTTATAAAAAAAATATTTATTAGATAAGTATAGTATTAAAGTATTTTAAATGAAGAAATACCGAAAAAATATTAGTAAGCATAACTATTTTATTTTAATTCAACAATTATCTTTATAGAATATTTAATTTTTTTGTATAGCGTGAACTTAAAAACGCCAAAATATTTACAAAGTACCTAATATTTTAAAATAATTAATAGGTAAACATAAATATGAAATGTTTATATGAATATTAATGAAATATAAGTACATGTATATCATAGGTTTTGTTATATAATATAGCTTCTAAAAACAATGTAATGTAATACGTAACGTTAATTAATAAATTAGTTACAGCAGAGTGCAGGTTTCAAAATTAGCACGCAAATTTAAACGAACATTTAAAGATAATATAAATAAAACTTAAATACCAATAAGTACATTATATATTAATATTATATCGTATAAAAAAATACCACAGATATTTTTAACGAAAACGAAATTGATAAAAGTATGTTTTATACTTTTATAGCGTACCAATAGAACAGTAATCACCAAACAGTCGATTTTATTAAAAATTAATTATACTAATATCAATTGATCGAGTGCGTAATCTTAGAGTTTAGACAAATTTTTAAGCTTTATATACAAAGTAAAGTATTTATTTAGAAAAAAACAAATTTTTTTTTGTGTCTGTGTACAACGATAAGTAGCCGAAATAATGCTTCGATTTTCAACTTCAGTATCTTGTTCGATTGAAAAGTGAAAATCGTTGGTGCATTGGGGAGGTCACAATTTAAAATTCCCAGTAATTTTCAAAAGCAAAAAGAAAAATTAAGGAAAACCGGGAATTTTTACGCAAAATCGATTTTTCACAAAATTGAATTTGGTTTTTGGGGTAATTTTAAAACAAATGACCGTAGATACATATAACCTTTTCGAAATATTTTGATTTATTTTGAACTGTTTAGGGACATTTTAATTTTCCATATTTTTTTCTAAAAATATTAATACAATTTTATTTGTTGGTTAAAAAGCTTGAAAATTTAATAGAAGGTTCTTAGTATATTGTTTCAAAGGCAGATGAAAAATATTAAAAATCTTTAGCCACAGTTTTTTTTTATAAACATTTAAAGTTCAAAAATTGACAAAATAAAGTAAAATTACGAAAATTAGCAAATTATTTAGAGTTAAGAATTCGTAAAAATTTTTCTTTTTAAATCTAAGATTTTAAAATGTGATACAAGATTCCTTATAAGATTATCTACCTTTATCAAAAAAAAAATCTCTACCGGACAGTCAAATTAAATTTGTATGAGCGTTTGAAATTCACTTTTTTACAACATTAGATGTTCACTCGATTTCTCATGTAGCGATTTCCTTATTTTTTTGTAATTCAATTTCAAAAACGAATAACTGTAGACACATAAAAATTTCACTGAATGTTTATATTCGCATTTCCTATACACCAAACAATTTTGAAAATATTTTGACTCTTTTTGAGCTTTTTACGGACATTTACAGTTTTTAATTTTTTTACTTTTTTTTTCTATAAATATCAATAAAGTTTTATCTGTTGGGCCAAAAAGTGTAAATCGGCTAAAAGTGTAATACAAGGCTCCTGATATATTGTTACAATGCCAGTTGAAAAATATTAAAATACATAGGCACAATTTTTTTTTATAAGCATTTAAAGATCGAATTTTGACAAAATTTATCAAATTTAAAATTGAATGATTATTTTGTAGATAAAAATTTATAAAATGTTCAACTTTATATCTAAGGATTGAAAATTTAAAACAAGATTTCACGTAAGTAGTTAATTCTGTTACCAAAAAATCTAAAAAATACATAAGCACAGTTTATTTTTATAGTCATTTGAAGTTCAAATTTGGATGAAATTGCATAAAAAAAACTAGAATAACTATTTTAGTTATTTTGTTGTGATTGTATATAATATTATTCGTTGGTACTTGAAACTTCTAAAGTACACTATTATATATCTATGATAGCATCAGGGTTTGTTGTTGATGTATAACGCGTTATAAGTAGGTACCTAATGGATATTGTGATATGATTAATTTGGAATTTATTATAGGTACATACCTATTATAGGTAAATTTTTTTTAATACCATAGATAAGTATATAATATGTCTTATACCTAGACTGACTTACCGTCTCCACTCAGAATTGTTTTTCTTATACAATGATATTGTATCATTGAATTCAAAATTAATACCATCCATTATACAGTGACCAACTTGAAACCTACTGTACAGCAGAGCAGCTTTTTTTTAATATGGATATAAATGATATAACAATTATTTTATCAGAAAGAGGCAAATAATGGGCCTTAGTAAATTTATACAAATATAAATTAATTGGAGAGCGGAAAAAAGATTAATCTTTTGAGATGAAGGTGTACGAATAATAAATGTTCAGCAATAATGTTCTCAGGTTTAGATAAACGTAAAGTGATTAAAACTGCTGGACAACATAAACAAGATCAAAATTCTATTGAGAAAATAGAAACACAAGTTTTTTTGTGCAAGAGAAAAGCTGAAGAATCAATTTCTACAGGGCCACTTAAAATTATTCACACCAAACTTTTAAATTCATCTTCAACATCAAATTTAAACAATCAAAATGTAAGAAATGTATCAAAAGCAATGTATGATAAACAGAAGCAGACCTATCCTAAATTACCAACTTCTTTGGATGAAGCAATTTATCAATGAAGTGACTTACAAAATGAAGAATGTTTTAAATAGAAGGGTCATCAATTAATTTACATGCCGACTGATGATAATTTTGTATGTTTAACTACGGAACAAAATATACAATTTATGACAAATAATTGTACTGAGTATTTTGGCGATAGCGCATTTAATTATACTCCAAAATATTTTATTCAATTGTACACAATACATGGATATAAAAATGTATACTACATACCACTTGTTTACTTTTTTTTTACAAAATAAAACTAGGTCTACTTATATTAAAATAGGGCAATTTTTAAATACTATATGTTTAAAATTATGAGAAAAAAATTTCAAATTAACACATTTCATGTTGATTTTGCTCATAATATTATTATTATTATCAAACAGATCTATATACTATAATATAATGTAACTAGGTATGTTACATATTGACTATGAAAACACAATATTTTTTTGCCATATTATATTTTGAATTATTATAATAATTTAAATAAATATTGTTGTATAATACAGTTCAAAATTGAAAATGCAAAGTTTTTTATGCTCAATCGCGTTGGTTTTCTTTTGTATTTCAGTTTCCTTTGATACGTCAACAATTTATGCTCAATTGTGTTGCAAAAAAGGTGTTTTATGCCCAATGGTGTCTCAGTCCCTAATTGTTACTTAAGTACAAAGGAGCAAATAGCGTTTGAGATTGGGGGGGGGGGAGCTGAAGCCGTAATAAATATGAATAATCCTAAAAAAATAGGAAATGTTTAGGGGCTATTGAAATGTTTAAGGAGACTTACCAATAAAGCCTCACCTTTATTTTCGTCTATGCAAAAGTATTAGAGTAAGGGTAAAAATAATAATAAAACAACTAAGAAAAATATAGGATAAATCGCTACATATGACATTTAAACTGAGGATCATGATGATTCCGAAGATTTATTGTTACTTTCAAAGTTGTAAGAATAATATTATAATACCAAGGCTACTAATAATTTGATAATTTTCAATGATTATTTCAACAAAAGCTCGACATAGTAATAACTAATACCACTTTAATATCGACCTCCATAGAAAATTGATTTTTGAACACGATGATTTATTATTATTTTTATTATGACAAAATAAATGTCACAATAAATTAAATTGCATTCAGTCTGCGTAGATGTATATTTTTTCATTGAAAATTTGAAAATTTGTTTTTTAATGTATTTTTCTTAACATTATTATTTTTTGGGGTTGTACGATTGGTATGTTAGTTAAATGTTTATTATTTAATTAGAAATTATCGATTGTAAATATTAAATAAAATTAAAATATATACTTAGAGGTATGTACCTACCTACAATCTATCTACATGTTAAATAGAACATATTTATCAACTATAAATAGTTCTGACTTGTGGTCTTGTGTTAAAACCAAGTAATATTTAATTTGTAATAAGAATAACTAATGTTAGTTTTGACTCGTGCATAAGAGGACTTCCTCGTTTTTTTGTCAACTTTAACTCTTTAATTTAAATTTGTAGGTACCTATAATAATGTTATATTATCTTAGCAAATGATCTACAGATAATGAAACACGACGGAACACTCCCACTCTTTTTACCAATATGTGTATCACAAAGTTATGATCAATACCTATCTATTTCTCGTCATAATGTTTTTTATAATATGTTTTAAAATGTATACAATATCTGTGTGATCAAAGAAGATCTCTATTTTTGTATACTTATGAGTTATGTATTCTGATGCATATTGTACAATATAGTATTGTACCTACCTTAGGTATATCAGTATATTATTATGACACATTACACATGGTATATTTTTTTTAAAACAACAGTCACAATAATTGTATAAAAACAATTAAGGCACACGTGTCGTATGCTATCTACCAACAAATTGACGGTGTCGTATGCTATCTACCGTATCTACGTTATCTACCGTAATTTATATTGACGTATATTTCTATATAATATTATATATATTTATAATTCCTTTAGGAATTTCAGTTATTTTGTATTTTAGAATTTAGTATGTATGTTCGTTGATCGCCGAGATCAAACGTTGTAGTTGTGTGTTTTTTATTAATTGTAAATTTATGGTTTTATAAAATGAGTACTTTGGGTGAATTATATAGAAAAATTATTTTTAATGACGAAACTTGTATACAATTTTTAAAAGATCGTAATTTATTACCTAATACAAAACTTTATACAAAATTAAATTCTATTGGAGAACAATGTAATGGTGAAATGAAGGAAACTTTAAAAAAAAGCAGGAAACGTGATGTAAACGGAGATATTATTAGAACAAAATATTTACGATGTAAAAAAAAGGGTTGTCAAACATGGCAATCCATTCGTAAAGAAAATCCATTTTTACTTACATCGACAACAAATAACAATGGAAAAAATAATAGTGGATTAAGTTTATGCGAAAGATTTGTAGATTTTTATATAATATGATTGATTTGGTAGATAGCATACGACACGCATACGTAGGTTTTTGTAGATATCATTTTCTTAGTAGATAGCATACGACACGTGTGCCAACAATTAATTATGACAATTGAAATACCTGCTTAAATGTTTAAATTTAAACTTCAATGTAGTAGTATTTTTTTTAACCAGTATGCCCATACTGCATTTAAAAAAAAAAAAAATAATATTTCCATGAATGGAGTAATGCAATTAGTAATCAGCATGTCCTTTTATCTATTTCAAACCTTGAACTATTTTTTAAGACAATAAAAATAAGATACATACTAGGTAGTACTTATAATATTATGTAGGTAGGTACTGTTATCATCAAATCTACCAAAAAAATGAATATAATATTTTTAAAAACTGGCAACATTGCAATAAGCTCACAAAAATGTCTTTCATTATTATAGAAAATATTAAAAATCAGTAGAATTATAATATACAGACAACAGACATATGTATATAAGCGATAAAATCAATAACCCAAGTATAAGGAACAAAAACAAAAATTTAATACTTGGTCCATTCATATTTTATGCAAACATTGGAACCACAAGAGTTACATAGTAAAAATTTCACTAGCATCATTTCTATGAAATTACAATAATCATATAGTTAACTTTCATGCATAGTGAGTTTAAGTGTATAGTTGCATCAACGAATTCTCTTTTCAAATAATTACACAATTCTTCTTCTAGAGAGAAAGTAACTACTAACTACCTTGACCTAATCATATGATTTTTATAAACATTGAATAAATAACTTATATCTTCTTAAGATCAATGCATTGATAAAAAATAAAAAATACCTATGAATACCTACCTAATACAACAAACAGTGAAACAGACATTCCAGGTTCCGATTTATTAAAAAACATTAAAAATGTTATTAAATCATAGAATTTTAGTGTTTTGTGTAATTAAAATTAGATTAATGTTGTACAAACATTTTCTACAATTTTTGTTTATTGTATAATAGTTAGGATGTGTTTAATAGGAAGTTAAATAAGTAGTTTTTTTAAATAAATTTCTCTAACACTTATATCTAGCAACATAGATTCAGAGAACAAAAAAAACAGGTTGTACAGTTTCAGCAGTTGCTAGTTTGAGGAAAAGTGAAAGTGAACTGAAGGTTTAATTTATATGATTCTCAACTGACTAACTCTATGTACATATTGCGTTATAACAGTATGTCAAGACTGAAAATCATAGGTGAGAGCAGACTTTATTGGTAGAATATAGTGATAAAACATAATATAAATAACAAAATTCAAAACATACACTAAACAAAATTAATAATACTTAATTCCAAACATATTTTTTAATAAAAATAAAACCCAGTTAAAACCAAGCTAAAAACAATATAGTTTAAGATCAACGCATGGTAATGATTAGTACATAAACAACTATTTTTTAATTGTAGGTACTATATAAATAGAAAGTTGATTGAGGCAAATATTTTGAAGGGCGGAAACTGTATTGGATCACTTCCAGGAAGCTTACCAGATCACAATACATAAGATAAACATTGTTTCTATCTGTTAACTCTTAAGTAACTTTGAAGTTAAAAAAATGTGTATAAACTTTTTGTTCAATTTGTATTAATATAATTATAACACGAAAAATACATTAGGTACCTACTATTATAATATAGATAGGCAATGAATAAGTTCCAACAACCAATTAATATAACTTAGGTAAATATTTTAGAGCACATCGGACCCAAATGTGGTGTCTTCATTTTACTGACTCATAAAATAGCAAATTTGATAAGAATCCATTTTACTTTTTTTTTTTTTAATATAAGAATAGTTTTGTAAATTTTGAAAATGCTTATAACTTGCTTTTAAATATGTTGTTTGTACTCAGTGTTAGTAAGACAGAGTTAACAAATGCAAATATGACATCCTCTTACTGTAGGTTTAACTATTAGTTATAAACAACATTATTTTCCCTATAATTTTCTTAAATAAAATAATTACATTAACTGCAAACTACTATACAACAGGGAAATCATTTAAGGAACAAGGAGGTAAACACAAATATTTTTGGCATAATATTGCCATTTCTTTCTGCACCACCAATATGATGAGCTGAATTCTCCAATCAATGGACGCATACAACTAGTAAATTATGACACATCTTTTTAATCTTTGTTAGATTAATAATAATTATTAATAACTATTTTTAGTATTTTATCATGTTTTTAATGTGTATTTAAATTTGGTCACACCCATAAAGTATGCCTATATAAATAAATAAATAATATATAAATTACATATTCTGAAATAAGAAACATACCTAGCATATGTTTCTTAACTACACCTATTAACTTATCTGTATGCAGATACTTACCAACTAGCTACTCCAAATCATAAAGAAAAATATAATAATTATTGGAGCCAAGAAGGGAAGTTAATGTGATATAATGCTAAGTAGGTACCTATATCATACGGTATTATGACGTGTAGGACATAAATTAGGTATACGTGTGTAGTGGTAAGTCCACACTGTGCAAAAGTGTAACTAACAAATTTTATCAATATATATCGATTACAGCGTTTGTTAACACGACCACACTGTCACGAGTTATAGGTATATTAGTTATCTTGATTATATGCATTGAAAACCCGTAAAAAGTTGTGCCATATGGTATACAATATATACCTACAGATTCCAGCAGGCATTTAAAAAAGAAGATTAAGCTTCAATACTTAAACCTAATATAGGTACTTACCTAATAATTTGCACTGTAAGTACCTAGGTACATAGTGTAACAGCTCAAAAATTGACGATTTTGAGTTGCACATGTTTTCTTATAGTAAAAATAGCATTATTTACAAGGCACTAGTGTATATTATGTCGTATTGGAAATATTTAATGCGTTAAAACTAGGTATATAATATAATATAAATATAATGATATTAAAAACTTGAATAGCTCAAAATCGTCAATGTTTAGTAACTACACTAATGTACTCACAGTGTCCATAACTATTTCAGACGATAAAAATCTGATTTTAAAAAGTCAGAGGGCAAATGAAGGGGAAAATGCCCCAGTCTTCATCTATCGGGTAAATATAATTTATAACAGTACGAGTAGCAAGTTGTCATCGTCGTGTACGGTGCATTGCCCGGTCACAGTTGCACTCTCATGGTCGATTGTAGTGCTCTGACCGTAGACAACATAATAGTATAAAAAACCCCACCAGCTGCTACCCGGGGATGACCTTTGAATTTGGGCCAAAACCGAACGTTATTATGTCTCCGGTCACAGACCAACCGGCCCACGGTTACTACACCATAATAATATTATTATGATTAATAGGTGATTGATCATAGTCATCACAGCATAATGTTATATCATATTATTATAGACCGTATGCAACGCAAACGAAACTCACTTGTTGTTGTTCAACACGAAGGAATTCATATTTTGACGACGTGGACAGAAACCGGATTATCGACGTGACAATATCGACCGGGCGACACTCTAGCGCTGGCCCAAAATATCGCGGTCGGTCGGACGTCTACTGTCTAGCGTCTGCTATGGAAATGTTCAAGAGAAGACGGTGTAATCACAGACGACAGATGTTAACGGCGCGCACCACAAAACACATCCATGACGAACTAGTGTTGACTGTCGGGTACTCGGGCGAACGGGTTATCGTTATCAACGGACGTTGCTCCGGGCTGGTCGCGATTGGCGAATGGCGGCGGCGGCGCTGCTGTTTTTCCGGGTCAGCACTCAGCGCACCATACGTCCACACGTGTCGCGACCCCCCCCCCCTACTTCGGTGCCGATAGTCTGTGAATCGTTACCGCGGATACCGCCGAAAGTACCTATACGGCTATACGTAACCACTTTGGTAAATTGCCTGACGATCCCGAATATGTAGCTATGTAGGTACGTCCTCTGCGGGCTAGTGCGGCTAAGGTTGAACGGCTCTGCCTTCCGCACGTCAACCGTTACAAAATATGTAGCTCTGAATCATTTTTTGAACGCACTCGACGATACCGCGGTGATTACGTAGGCATCGTAAGCAGCTGAAGTCGAAGGTACAATTATATAGATTGGTGCCTACTGCCTACGTTATATAAGAGCAATGTTCGTAATCGACAACACTATACAACAGTCTTCGCAGTTCGCGTGCCAGTGACATCCTTATGACCGTATTGCATATATAGGGCTGTTGGGCAGTGACACGGGTAAGCAGGATTTTTCAATTTTGGGGGTGGAGGGGCATGAAAATTAATAGGTAAAAGGTTCCTCATACAGTCATACGCAAGTACCTAGATCATAATGTTACCAACAAATCACTGATTTTTTATAAAAATAGAATTTAAAATGAATTCAACCAAACCTCTATATATTATATTAATAAAAGCAATATTATCTATAAGATAAAATAAAATATCCTATGCTGACACACCAACACCGTCTTCACTCAGACTCGTTTTTCGTATACAATGATGTATATTAGGTGTTTAGGTATCATTGAATTCAAATTTAACACATCCATTACAGTGACCCACTAGACACCAGCTGTTGTACAGCAGACTGCAGAACGGTTCCCATCACTGCCCCATTTTTTATTTATGTAGACTTAGCTAATATTTTGAAATGAATATGAATTTAGTATTTACGTCTTATCTAGATACTAATTCTTTTTTTTTTTTTAATGATCCGATGGACGAAAGTAGACTTACCACAGCACAAAAAGGGATATTCGCATTTCATACCGTGGTACACTGGTACACAATCACTCATTTTGATCAATGGACTGCATATCATCTCTTTTAAAACAAATTTATAATAAAAAATTTACTTGTGCTAGAACTAAGGCTGAATCGATTGTTTTAAATGTGTTAGGTACCTCCTTTCCCCATGCAACAAATTTGTAAGGAAATATAAAATATACATTTTGCTACAATTATGATAGATACTTCTAACCATATGAACCTAAAAATTGTACCCATTTTAAAACGTTATTTCAAAATAAATTCGGGAATACACATCAACATTTTTGAAGTAACAAATTTAAAAGGAGAAACAGCAAATATTTTATCAACTTATATAATTGAAAGTTTGAAAAAGCATAAGTTGACAGATAAAATTATTGCATTTTCTAGTGATAATTGCAATACTAACTTTGGAGGTATTTTAAGAAAAGGTTCAAATAATGTTTTTTCAATTTTAAATAAAAATTTAAAAACGAATATTTTTGGGGTAGGTTGCGCTGCTCATATTTTGCACAACTCAATGCAATCAAGGGCTGATGTGTTACCTGTCGATGTAGAAATCATAGTTAACAACATTTTTCAATTTTTTCATATCTATACAGTTCGAGTTGAACATTTGAAAGAGTTTTATGAATATGCAAATGTTGATTATAAAAATATTCTTGGAAGTGTAAAAACTCGTTTGCTATTCCTTATTACCGGCAATAACAAGAATTATTGATATTTACCCGGGCTTAAAATCATACTTATATTAATATATATTCATGTGTACTTATAAGTGCAGTGGCGTATTTAGGAATTTTGCTAGGGGGGGGGGGGGGGGTGAAATATATAATAATTAATAATACACCTATAAATACGCACACAATATATACATTTTTGAAATCCCCTAACTTGTTACCTATTGAAGTAAGTGGATCAAGACGAAATAAGAAACATCAACTATATAGTACCTAATACTTATAATAGCATTTGTTATAAATTCACACTAGCGCCAATCCCGTGTTTAATACGATAAACAAAAAAAATAGTTATAATACAAAATCCAGTTTTCTCATTTTTTGGATGCTCAGTTCATCAATAACCTCATCTGGCCTTATTATTGTATTGACCTGTGACATGCCAATAAAGCCAACACATTAAGGAATAAGGGCCCTTAATCCTTATTACAATAGGTTAAATCGCGGAATTATGCCTGTAAAATTAGTGGGTTAAGACGTGTAACAGAGGTTTAAACTATGATTGTAAAACGGGCCCTAGTCGGTTAGGTTAGGTTAGGTAAGGTTAGCCCCAATCGGTTCTAATAAACAAAGTATATAATAATTACTAGGTACTTAATTTATAATTATTATTCAATATTAGATAGGAAAATTGATAAAATATTTACTTCTGTCATACTATTTATAATAGGTAAGACTTCTTACCTAATAAAAACTTCGTTTAGGTGTAGCAGTTGATACAGGGAAAGTACAAAATATTTTCAAGAGTTCATGATTATTTGGATAAACTCTTTATAACAAATATCTAAAGCATGTAAACCAGAGGTGAATACAATTTTTTCAGTCAATAACTACACATCAGCCACTAAAAATAAACCCACGCCCTATGGTAAATCTACAGTTTTCATGTAAATTTTGTTTTATTTACCAACTGTTTATCGCGTTTATTATAAACACTCTTGCATGAAAAATAATTCGCAGAAAAGTAAAACATATAGTACTTACACCATACTACCATAGAGGTATATGTTTTTGTTGTCCGATATATATATAATAGATATAGGTACCACATAATATATGTCGCGAACGACTACTGACGTATATAGTACTTACCTATATATCAGAGCGGCAAAATTACCACGGCTAGAACATTTAGAAAACAGACATACTTAAAAGTAATATCATATTAAGAAATACAGACAATGAGAAAAATTAACTTTATAAAAAAAAAGATCAAGGGGGGATCTATTCCCCATATTCCCCCCCGTAAATACGCCACTGTATAAGTGTACTCTGTGATTTTAGAAAGCTAATACGATAAAATATGATTATAAAATCGTTTTGGGTACAGACGTCAGGCGTACAGTTATTGTAGAGAGAAATACTAAAACAGAATCACTTACCGTATCAAATTATAATGACATTATTGTCTAGTTAGGTAATAGTTATATCATTTAAAATCTATATTAGGTAGGTATTGCAATATTATGTATACATAGGTACCTACAAATCTACAATTAAAACCAAAATAACTTTCACGAATTAATGATTGTTAAAATATCTGCACTGCAGAGTTGATTTTGATTTTAATTTGTTATAACCACAAGATATATATCATATGTATAGATATTATAAGTTATAACAGTAGGTAGTTAATGCAGAAGTGATTCGAGGGGGGGTGGTTTATAAAATTATGAAGCTGCTAAAATGTTCAATACACAATATCATCTCCCCCCCATAAAAAATCCACACAAGGCTTAATTCTTCAATATTCATAATTTTGTCAATTATTCATACATTACCTATAATAGGTACCTATTAACAAGGCCGCCTGCAGGGGGGGGCGGGGAGGGCCATGCCCCCCCCCGCTAATTTAGATAATACCTAATTTTTATTGTATTTATTTGCATTAATCCATTTTCTGAGCTCAATGGATGATGTAAATAAATACTTAATTGAACTTGGCATTGAATTAAAAACACCAAGAATAGCGTCAAAACAAACACTGAGAAATAATACCCCTTCGTCTGATCCGGTAGATTACTACAGAAAATCAATTTTCATTCCATACTTGGATTCATTAATTACTTCATTAAATGACAGATTTGCTGAAGATTTTGAAAAATTTGAAGTTTTCTCAATCCATCCAAAATATATGAAAAGTATAAAAAAAGAAGAACTTATCACTAAATTGAAAAATATTAAGTCATTTTATGGAGATTTGGTAGATAATATATTAGAAGAAGGTCTTATTTGGTACAGCAATTGGAGTGAAAAAGAAATTAAAGATAATACAGATTTTCTTGAACTTTTAGATGAAACAACATTTTTCCCATCAATAAAAAATTGTATTTTAATAGCAATAACCCTTCCATCAACTACTTGTAGTGTTGAAAGATCATTTAGGTATGTATAATTTATTAATCTGCTTTTATAGTGCTTCTTCATAGATATTTTTGTTTTTGCTTTATATTATAGCTCACTTAAAAAATTGAAAACTTGGCTTCGCAGTAGTATGACACAACTCCGCTTGAATGGCTTAGCACTTATGTACATTCATAGTGATATTTTAAAAAGTCAACAATCTGACATTGTTGAAGATACAATTAAGCTTTTCTGCATGGAACCACGGCGTGTTCAATTTTTATTTGACGATAATGATCAATGAGTCGATGATACGGGGAAAGTTCACGGTAGACCGATCATCGTTTTTTAACTCTGGAGTTAATACGAGGATTACAAATTAGGTACTTGATAACAGTTAACTGAGTGGTTTATATTCATAATACGATTTTGACTGAACTATATACTTAAACCTAGTGTACATGAGTTAGTTTATATTTTATTTTAAACTAAATATTTTTATAAAATTCGTTTTAATATTTTTTTTATTTAATTAATAATATTATCGTTAGGTATATACATAATAACTGCATGGCATTTTGGTTGCACTTAGTAAAACATGCTAAAAATTTTAGATTCTGAGCAGGCAATGAATGTATTGATTTTACAGTTAGGTAGTTAGGTAATATACATAGCCAATAGGCAATAGGTATATGTGCATTTGATTTTGTTTGTGTCTGTCGTCACTTTTTGGGGCAATAAAAAATAAAAATGCTTCGATTTTCTGCTTCAGCATTTTTTCTTGTAAAAAAGTGAATCTTCTTACTTTGAGTTCAAATGTAAAAAATACACTATAGTTTTCAAAAGCGTCGAATAAACAACAAACTGTTTGAAGTATTTTTATGCAAAACCAGTTTTTGACAAAATTGATTTTTTTTTGTTTTTACTCAAAAACTAATAACCGATACTTTAATTTTTCAACGAGTGTTTTTAATTTTTATAATCAATTTCTATTAATTAAAAATATTTTGATTCTTTTTGAGCTATAAATATAGGTATGAACAATTTTAGGTTTTTTTTCACTTACTGTAGATTTATAATTTTTCGCTTTGTTAAAATAAAAACTTTAATATTTAATACGTCTTCATAATTTGCTATATAAGTGTCATTAAACAAAAAAAGTTGAGAGTGAACCTATCAATCAGAAAATCGACGATATCGACCATCCGTCTAAGTTATATTAGTGCGGTATTGAGTAGATTTACTGTTTGACAGTCTGGTGAATAGTTATCGTCCACGCAGTAAGTACAGCCTGCATCGAAGCATCTGAAAAAGGAAAGGCGAATACGAGGAGAAGGACGTAAAGATCGGCCTAATTACATGACTATAATATGATGTCCTCGAGGGCCGAGCCTCCCTTGGGCTGTCATTTCGATTTGTTCGTCAAATCAGACACCACTGTGTCACTGCGATGCTATTTTCCTCGAGCACGTATTCCTCGATGGACGTATTATGCATACGCCGTACATATAGCGCAGTATAGCCTATGCCAATGCACGGATGAATTTTAGGACAAGTAACAAGTCATGTGTAAATAACGATTTATTATCTATGGATAGTTTTGTGTATGATTTTATTTTAGTTGTTTACCTAACGACATCCGCTAAAATAAGGGACAACATTTTTTTTCAAATTCATATAGATATAATAATGATGAATTTGAAAATACCAACAATTGTTTAAAAAAAAAGGAGGGAAAAACCCCTTAGTACGCACCAGGTCACCCTCTACGTCAAAGGTCACTTACCTATGTCCTTATAGTAGGATATAAAGTATAATAACTCTGAAAAAAAATACTGACATATTTATTTTATTTCTTATATAGACATAATTATACCTATACATTATCATTAAAAAAATAACTATATTTATATTATAGTTATAGTCTCAATACAGTTTTTCAGTTCAGAAAATACACAGTAGTAATATACTAGTATAGTTGTATCAATAACTATAGTCTTTGACTACATGATATAATATAGCCTATAGGTAGGTACTCAGAAATTCCAAAAAACAGAATTTTAATAAATCCTTATAACTAGAATTCAAATTGTGTGAGCATGCAATAGGTACACGATAAGTCCTCAAATTATTTATAACAAAACGTATAGCTTAATACTAAAATATTGAGTCGAAGACAAGACATTTAGACATTAAACATTGAAATTTCTTTATTCAACAGGTAGTTGTCTGCAAATTTCTTCACCCCCTTTGCTCAAAAACGGCATCATTGGTCCTTTGTAATGCATGAAGTATTAGTGTATTACATATGGCACGTTTATTTTATTGTGGTATACTGGTATAGCGGTATCCCCGTTAAGGCCTAATCCACACTTACAAATAAAGCATCAGTTTTATCCACACTATTTCACCACAAAGTAATTTAATGTTAATGATCAATGGTGGATACATTTTTGTTTTTAATGTACCTAAATAAGATTTGTTTAATAGGTACCTATATGAGTTTTAACGAAGGACCGTCACGGTTGACAATCATTAGAAAAATAATAATGTAATGACTAATGGTGTTAAAATAAGCAAAAGTCTGTTCATGATTGAATTAAACATTATAGAATTCGATGATGCAGCTTGAGTTTTTTTTATGGCAAATTTGTGGATTTAATTTTATAAAAATAGGAAATATTATAGACTTCAATTATTTAAATTAATAGACGCAAGCACTGGTGAATTATTATTCAAAATAATTTATTTTAATAGGTACTTACTGTTGAGTTTTCTGCCAACATTCATAAAATTATAAGTTCTGAATCACAGCAGTAGGTACATTATCAGGTAGGCAGTCTACCTGCGGTAAATCGGGTACCCCGTGCTGTTTGTACGTAAGTGTATGATTTAACTCTAAAGTATCAAAGTTATACCAAGTTTGTCATTTTTACTTAATTCCACCTACTGTAGATTAATACTATCAATTTATACAAAATCCTATCCTAACCTAACCGTACTAAAATCCGATGAATAAAAAAAAACAAATTTAACCCTTTGTAAATTAACCTATCTTCTTCCCAGAGATCTAATCTACCTATAAACATTTATTTATATATATATAAATACATAGACTATAACTATACAGACTAAACTCTGGAACTACTTATCAGATCTTCTTGTATATATTATATATATGTATATTGACAAAAGATAATAATACAAATCATCAAACATGCCCGATTAACCAATAGCAACCAATATAGCACCGGTGGATATTCCTAAAATTTTCTTTCATTATAAGTAGGGCTGGGATTTCGATGCACTTTGCATTGTTTTCCTAAGCTTATACTGTGCAATGCTCGTCTTGTCACAAATTTGTTTTATGTACATTTGAATGAGAATAAGAAAGTTTATTTTGCATTTACTTGCATTTTTTAGTTTTTAGGTCATTTTCTTAATTTTTTAGGGCATTTTAGAGTTTTTAGAGCATTTTTTGAGTTTTTGGAAACCAAGTATAAATTTGAAATTTTATTTTAAGATTTTTACACCAACATGGTTTTTAAATAAATATAACAGATTATAAGTAGGTATTCGTAATTCGTATTATATTATCGGACAAGGTTTGAGTAACCTCTACCCGCATTGCCTGTTAAATAATCTTAAATCGGTCCGATGATATCGTTCAACGTTCAGTAAGAGTTTTGTTGTCGTTAACACCGTTTCTAGTTAATTTTTTTACTAAAACTATGTATTGACAGTTTACACTTATAATAGATTTTTGTAATGCATTTTTTTAAACTTTTTATTGTAATTTATACTAAAATTATTAAAAAAAAAAAATGTTAAGATCATAAAAGCATTTTTTTAGGGTATTTTTCGGGGTTTTTTAGGTCATTATTTAGAGTTTTTAGGTCATAAAAGCATTTTTTTAGGACATTTTTCGGGATTTTTTAGGGCATTAAAATCCCAGCCCTAATTATAAGCCTTCTCCGTGAAATACTCTTTTGTTTAAAAAAAAAAATTCAAGAAGATCTGATAGGTAGTTCCTGAGTTCAGGCTGTACAGGGATTTTCATTTCACATTTTTAAAGTTGGATATTATATTATAATTTATATTTATAAAGTAAAGCAAACAATTTTATTTTTATTATTATAATTATTATATAGCTTAAAAACCCATCATTGCTTATGGACGTTTAATAATAATAGGTACTGATTGAAAATGTATATTATGTACAATAACAAATAGTCGATGTATTATATTATAATAAATGGTTTGTTTGTCTTCGTGGCAACGAATTAAAACGATTCACTATAATAATTCTGTATTGAAATTTCTAGAACGAATCATTTTATACTACGTCACTCATGGTAACCATTGATAAACAAAAATTTCTATCCGAAATCTCAAAATTCCCGTTTTAACACCTCTCGGGGTTGGTCCTCTCCCTTTTTAAATTAGCCTATCTTTTAAGTTCAGCCAAATTACTCACATTGTAAAAATGTCATCAAGATCGGTAAAGTAGTTTCGGAGTTTATCCCCGACAAGTCTTACACGAGTTTTTTATATATATAAAGTCATAAAGATAATAGTATTATAAATTATAATACATAGATACCTGGCTACCTATGTTTTTTTTAAATGTTGTTTTCAACAACATAACATTTTTTAGATAATTACGTGCTTGGGATGGGGGCAGCCCCTAGGCCCCTTAGACTCTGGAGCTGCCCTGTTAAGTAGTTTGTTGTATAAACTATGAACCATGAACATATAATAATGATTAATGAACCAACTACTAACATTTCCGTGAAGAAATTTGTTTTGGAGCCTTGGAGGTAAAATATCGATTACCATTCGTTATCATTATCTCTTAGCGCTTATCAGTAAACAACATAAATTTAATGTAGATAATAGAATAGAACAATATAATATACTAGATAATAGATACTAGGTTAAAGGTTTGCTACCGTAATAAAGTTCGTAAATCATATAATAGGTAATATATTATTATTTATTATTAATAAATACATAATATTTATCATTTACCTTTATATGAAAGTATGAGACAATGACAATGAGACATGAATATTTCAAGGAACACATCAGTCCGTTTTATTGTTTTATTAATTTGTTTTAATTTATCAGTATTTTTTAATAGTACGTAGGCATTAGGCAATAAGCATATTATTATCCTTAAGTATACTTGGTTATCATTATTTATGATGTGAACAAAGTTTAAGGCAATAAGGCTGTAATCAAAATATATAGTATTTTGGAAGTAATGTAATTCAAATTCGTCTGGTTCGAATCCTACAGACTACAGCAATGATGAAATTAGTTAATGATCCTTGTGGCATTTTTTGCATATTATTCACATATTCTTCAATCATATACGCTGACTACGTAGTGATTCAATGGGTTGTTTTGCACACTATGCAAGACAGGTAACATTTTAATTTATTATATATACTATTTTTTAATTTATTTATTACATTTTAGAGCTGTTATAGAACTAGCACACCTTATAAAATAGAGTAACATTTTCAATACCTATAATAACTTAATTTCAACCTAGGTATTAATATTTCTTTTTCTGATTTTTTAGGGTACCTATATTGCATAAAAACATAATCCGTACTTAGATACAAATTATTCTAATACGATTATGTATAGATCTATAAAAGTATTAAGAAACCTATCTAGTTACCTATACTATTTTACCGACTTAATGAATTTATTTGCCAGTCAAACAAAAACACTTAAGAATACCTATTTGCTATTTACTCATAGGGTGTCTTATAAATAAAATATGGAATAAAATATATAGAATAGGTATACCAAGAATTCCATTAAACTTAAAATGTAATGATTTATTTTTTCTTATAAATAAATAATTTAAGCATGTACCTATTTTTTTCATTATTATTTCTTTATATTATACACAAATTATTTACCTAACACTATTATTTTATATATTTTTCAGCTTATGGGCTCCATTTCATATTGTGCTTTTCAATACATTTCTTTTGCTTTTGACAGTATCACATTTACGAGCAATGTTTTCTGATCCTGGCACTGTACCTCTATCACATACTAATGTTTCTCTATCAGACTTACGGCAAGGTATGTTAATTTGTTATTAGATTCTATTATTTTATTGTTGTTAATTATTAGTTGACAAATATCTATGACCCTTTCTATGACGTGTGTGAACAACTTACCTACCTATATAGTTAATGAACCTTTAGTGAAAAGAGAAGATTGGACCATGTGTACAAGGTGTGAAGCATACCGACCACCCCGGGCTCATCACTGTCGAATTTGTAAGCGCTGCATTAGACGAATGGATCATCATTGTCCATGGTAATTGTTAATTAAAAAATATTCATTTATTTGGTTATTATTATTATTTATGTTGTAACTTTTTTTTTTAAATAGGATTAATAATTGCGTTGGAGAAAAAAATCAAAAGTATTTTGTCCAATTTCTTTTTTTTGTTTGTATTATTTCTGCATACACTATCATGTTAGTTATCATGTCATGGGTGCGCGAGTGCCGGCAGTGTAAAATGTACGACATGGATACTAGACAAACACAAGTGTGAGTATTTTGTATACTTGATATACAAATTTTACTGTAATCTATAATACCTACCTATAATCTTAATGAAAAAAATAAATTATCTCTGTTCATCTGCACATGTTTAATATAAAATATTATGTACCTACATATTAATAAAATTATGTTACTTTTTAATAAAACAACTAAATTTGATTCATAGGTTTTTCATAATTACTAGATTAGGTATTTTTATTTTACAATTAATTACAAAACACATTTTGTTTTTTTTAGCTTACATTCAGTAATTTTAATAATGGAAAGTGCTCTCTTTGGTATGTTTGTTATTGCAATTTTGTATGATCAAATGGATGCTATTTATAATGATCAGACAACTATTGAACAAACAGTCTACAAACGTCCAAATCCATTACATAGATATTTATTTTCAGTTATTTGTCGTTGGCCAAAAATATCTAGATCTACATCCAAACTTAATATTCGATCTGTATAATTTGTTTATTATTACTTTGTATGATTAATGTAGAAACTTGTTAAATATAAAAATATCTAAATTTGTATTAGGAAATAGGCATATTATGTTATACGTGTGGTTCATCATGCGAAACAATTTAAACGTATTATTAAAATTGATAAAGAACACAAAATCATAAAATATTTTAATCCAAAAAAAAGCAAAGCAAGGATTGTGTTTAATTTTACAATTTTACTATTTTGTGTTTTTTTTTCTACTTGAGTTTATTATAGTACAAATTACAATCATATTTTGTTAATTTCAGTGCATACTATATAATATACCATATTATACACTTTGTTATCTGTCATATTATAATTTCTTCTCAGCTATATTTCTTTCACTAATAAACTTTTTTCTATTAATTTCCAATTATCTCAGAAATCATTCATTGGTCTTATCATAACCGCTAGCTTCTCAATTTTAATTTAAAATGTCTATTGTAATAAATTATTCCCTAACTATACTAATGTACATTTTCTGTGTACAAATAACTGTTGAACAAATTTCATTCATAGTACATATGACATCGATAACTTAAATAAAGTTTCAAATTTATAAAAAAAAAAACATGATATATTCAACTTTATAATTATAAATTACTATTCTATTCTTATATGGCAAGTAAATCGATACTAGTGTCTAACACGAGTCTCTGTATTATATGATTTTTTTTATTTTATTTATTTATTTGTATAGCATGAAATTGAAATGATTTTTATTTTTATAAATTAATTTTTAAGAATTATATTTATTAACATGATATGTTTAAATTTAACATTTGAACATAACTTCAATTGTTTGTTTGTATACTTAATATTTTATTATTTATATTAAGATATTGAATAAAACGGTGCCAGATCATTAGCATAAAATCTAAAAATGATGTATTAAATATTAATTATATTAAACTATCCTGAAAGTTTTAACAGAATAATATCTTATGGTAGAATATTAAAAATAATTAAATTCAAGTAAAATATCTGAAAATGTATTTTATGACTACGTCTACAGTGTACTTAATATACAATTAGTTAGTAATTTAATTAATACAATTCAAGTGTATTAAACAATAAACTGTTTTTTTTAATTTATGATTCAGTACCTAGTATAAATTGTTTTAATTATGATTCGTAATTATTGCATTGCTTATGGTGTTAAGTTTATTATAAATAAATTATGTGATGAAAATGTTTATATAGTATAATTAACGTCCCAAAAATAATTCATAAAATTACTATATAGTGACCAAATGTTCAATATACATACTACTAATTTGAATAATAAACTTTTTAGTTTAGTTTACTTGTATTGGATCTTGTCTATTTTTGAAGATGCTTTTATACATTAATAATTACGCAACGTATGTGGATTTTAAAATAAATATGTGTTGTTAATATTTTTAAACATGGTGTTAAGTTTAACAATTTGTATGTACCTACTTAATAAGTTTCAACTTTAACATGTAGTACAAATTTATACATTTGAAAATTGTATTATATTGTTACATTTTTGTTTTGAAATTTGGAATGTATAATAATAATATTTCTATGTAAAAGTATATAATTTTTTTAAAAATTTGAATACAATAAACTTTATTGTCATAAAATAATGACATATTATTGTGTATAAATATTGAACATACATAATTTTGTAAATAACTTTATATTACCTAGATTTTAGACGAATAATTTTTCACTTAGATATTTTATATTCAATCTTATCCGCATGACCGAATCTTATTGATCAAACTTAGTATATACTCATGCAGGATTATTTGCTAGGCAACAGAACTGTTGTTATTATGGTATTCAATTTAAATGCTGCATACAAAATTTCTATTTCATTTAATTTTTACAAAATGTTTTATCATGAAGAATACAATGAACACATTACCAAAGAAACAGTTAATAATGATCAAAATTGTTTGTTAAAAAGTAGTGATTTCATATCCAAACCAATTAAAAGTGTAAGATGTACAATAGATGAAAATATATTACAACTTCAGTATCCTTTATCAGATAAAAATATTAATTTGCACATATATGTTTTAATGTTTAATTGTGGTTATAGTCTATACTCTATACTTAATAGTTAATTATAGTTTTTATAAAATGTAAAATATCTATAATCAATAGGTAGCTAATTAAGTTTAATAGAGTATATTATATAATAATTATATATATAAATAATAGAGTTTAGTTGATACTAAAAAATGTTTTTATTTAATAAATACAAGTACATTTGTAGTGTAATTACAGAAACTGAAATGGTGTGCACTATTTCAGAAGTTAAAAATCCTTAAGCACTATACTTAAGTCATTCTTTTGGCTATGATTGCTGTTCTAAAATGTTTAATATATGTGCTGCAGACAAGCATACAGTTGTGTATGCAGCAGGTAGTTATATAATTATGTTTGACATCAATGAGGGGAAATTGAATTTTAGAAAATGTGCTGGTAATGGAGGAATAGGACATATAGCGGTAAGTTTATTTGAATAATATTTAGAGTTTTTGCATTACATTTCATAATAATTAAGTTTTGTTTAATTAGAAAAATCCAGTTTTGAGCCACCTTGCGGTAGGAGAAAATTGCAGTAATCCACTGATTATTGTGTATGAATGGCCAACATTTGAAATAGTTAGTGTTCTCAAAGGCAGTGCCGAACAACAAAACAATTGGTTGTCATATAGGTATAAGTCATAAGTGTATTTCTTGAATAATAATTTTACATTTCAGCAAAATAACTAAAACCGTTATTCTGTATTTAAATATCCAATGTCGATCAAATTTGAACTTCAAATATCTATAAAAAAAAAAACTATGTTTAAATATTTTTAAAACTTTTTGGTTAGGTACTTACAGTATGAACAACTTTTTAGAAACCTTGTTTAAAATTTTAAGTCTCTGGTATTTATAAATTATCAACTATTCAACTACAAAATAATTTGAAAATTTGAAAATTTCATGTACCTACCTATCTACGATTAGGTACTATTCCACCAGAGTTACACAAAAAAAAATTGATTTAGACAATTATATTGCTATTTACATTGATTAGACTAGAATTTACTATTTATAATCAATACTAATTAGTAATTGCCTATTGGTAGCCAGGGGCGCAAATAGGAAGAATGTTTAGAGGGGTTCAACTGTTCAAGCCCTTAAAAAATTGTTTTTAAATTATAATATATATTATATTATTTTTTGAGTGATTTTGAGGAGGCTAAGCCCTCCATCTATTTGCGCCACTGTTGGTACCTATTATGGTATTACGGTTTGTTGAATTTGAACAATTTTTTGTACAAAAATATCACATTTATTATATGTTAAATTATTATTAACGAATTATTGATATCAGCTTTTGAGTTAATACCTATCGACTTACTATCGAACGTTGTAAAAGATAGGTAGTAGGTACTAGGTACATATCCTAAAATTAATCTAAATGTTTTGAAAAATATGTTATTGTGTAGGTAGGTACCTATAGATAGGTACCTAGTAAAATATAATAATATAAGTAAAAGTTGTAAGTCCCCATGAATACTGTTTTTGAATAAAAACAAAATAATTACAATTTGTATCCAATGTTGTAAAAATTTGAACTTCAATCACTCATAAAAAAATATAGTTATTATGGCTATAAGCTTTTTAATTTCCAGAAATAAACCTTATGAGTAAGACTGGAATTTTGATTCACTTTTCATTTTTTTTCCAAAGGTTGTTGTGCAATGCTTGCTTCTGGCCACAGATCCATTACTTACATGTTCTTTTGAATGAGAACAAGACAATTAATTTTTATATTTTTGATTTTAACGTCGTTTTCTTAATTTCTTGGGGCACTAAAGGGTTTTTAGGGCATTATTGGAGTTTTTGGATTTAAATTTGAAATTTTATTTTAAAATTTTACACGCTAAGTCTCTAACGTGAGTTTTATAAAAAATATATTATGTATGTATTACCTATACATATATTTTTTTGTGTATTACAAACTATAAAGAAGGTAGGTACTCACTACTCAGATCTTGTATCGGAAATTCGGGCAATACATTTGTAATATAAAATCTTAGATAACGTGTTTACGAGTATATTTACGTAAAACATGTTTAGAATCACTATATATTAATCTAATTAATAATATGTCGGAGTGTACCTACAGTTAAATAAATATATGATCCAAATCTATCAAAATATGGTTAAAAAAAAATATAAGGAAATAACTATTTTTCCAGATTAAAAGAAATCCAAGTTGAAGTTGTCCTGAAGTTTAGACCTCAGAAAAAGTATTTTAATTTAATTAATTTAATCAAATATTATTTAAAATGTATACTAAATTTATTAAAAATAAAACAATTTAACTGATTTTTTTCAGTGTTCTATTTAGAATTTTTAGGGCAATTAAGCATTTTTTTAAGGGACATTTTTAGGATGTTATAGAGGGCATTAAATTCCCAACTTTACTTTTAAATCTTTTCAAACCTTCTATATAACTATTCATATTGTGTTTAATGCTTTAAAATTTAATGTTGTATGCATTTTTATCTACAAAATAATTTGCATTTTTTCGAGATTAAGATGAATTTCGGAAACATTTGAACTTCACCTTTATGAAAAAAATGATGACTACATTTTTGATAATTTTTAATTTTTATAAAAACAGGTTTTATACTTAGTTGTATTATACATTTTCAATATTTTTTACTCAAAAATATCTGAACATTTTATTTAAGTAAATAGAAGTAAATGCTGGTAACGGCGTAATACATTTTGTAAAATTTTAATATAAAAAGTCTTTATCTACAGTATTCATCAAACAGTCATTCATTTTTTAATTACCTACATAAAACCAAATTGATTTTGTCAAAAACTGGTTTTGAGTAAAAATATATGTTTTCCCCCAATTTTTATTAGCCCGATTATTACTGTGAATATTTTACTTTCAAGTTGAGTTTTAACCCTTTACCCTTCAAAGTACCTACCATACAGAAACCACTCTCTATGTTAACTTTATCTATAGTATTTATTTAACTACAAAAATTGATGTTTTTATACAGACAATTCATTGTAAAACCAGTACATATTTTTCACTCTATTTCGAGTATAATATAAATTCAATTTTTATTTTCAGCCAAAATGGAGAATATTTGTGTTCACAAGCAGGGGAACCCGATAATACTCTAACAATTTGGGATTGGAAAAAATCGAAAATAATTTTGAGGACTAAGTCCCACAATCAGGATGTATACGTTTGTAGATTTTCGAACTTTATACCAGACCATTTGGTAACTGCGGGGTCGGGGCACTTAAAATTTTGGAAAATGGCAAAAACATTTACCGGATTAAAGCTTCAAGGTCAGCTTGGACGCTTTGGCAAAACAGAAAGATCAAACGTTATTGGCATTTTTTCGATGCCCGATGAAAAAGTAAAATTATTTCAGTCCTATACATAATTATTAATCACTATTGCCTACTAAGTATTGGCAATACATAACAGTAAACACATAAACTTTGGTTATTGCAGTGTTAATATTATATTTTATATTTGAGTTATAAATTTATAATACCAATATACGTTCAGTCAGGATTTCACAATATGAATTATTATAGGTAATAATGGTCATCATATACCTCAATATAAAAGATATAAGTCCTGTACAATATAGATAGGTTTTATATACCCATCAAGAAAAAAAAACTTATTTTACTGTATTGGTTGTGATGTTTTAATTTATAACTTTGTTTTCAAGTAAGGCGAGGAAAATATTTTTTAGAAATTTAAAAATATTAGCCCTTCTTTCACCCACCATTAATTGTACCTATAAATGTATATAGATACAAGTGTACAGAAATAATAAGTATACATTTAATATTTTAAGTTCAAAATATAAAGAATTAAATTAGGTAGGAAATTACAAAATGTTGGGCGTAGACCGCAGTGGACAATAAAACAGGACAGAGGGTGGGTTTAGCAAAGATTCGAATTCTAAGGTGCATGTGTGGGGTGACTAGGGAGGATAGAATAATGAATTAATGATTAGGGGTAGTGTAGGAGTGTCCCCAATCGTAGACATAATGAGCCATGAGGGAGAATACAGGTTGAGATGGAATCGGTCATTCTACGAGGAGAGGTGACTCGGAGGCAGTAAGAGTGGCTATTGCAATGAACGTAGAAGGAAAAGGACAGAGAGGAAAAATGAAAAGACAGAAGAAAAGATGGATAACATAGAAAAGAGAATGATATGAAAAAACAGCTGGTGTGAGTTAAGATTTTAAGAATAAGTTGTGGCGGACATAGCTCTGTGGAGATATAGGAATGTAGTGGTCGTTACTCGTTATTCTCGCCTCTCTTCCAAAAGCGGTTTACACACCCAGCACTCCCGTGATTGTGCCCCACTGCAGGTAACCCCATATAGGAATGAAGGGCGAAGGAAAAGAAAAGGAAGAAAGCTCCCAATTACTTGCAACAAATCAACCACTCACATCTATACAACTATATACAATATACATATAATAATATCATTAATCTTTAGACAATCATTTAGTTTCTAAATTTTTAGTCAATACAACTAATTTAGTCTTTAGCCTATTATAGTTATTAGAATCTCTCTCCTCCATCTTAGACATAGCCCAGATTGGCATTGGAGGTGATCCATCTATTACCAATCTTTATAAAGATAGGTATAAATGTATAATCATATTAATATTATAATATCTAATAAATTGTAAATAAATTGTAATTGATGGAATAAAATTATTATTGTTATTAGGTTACCTATTGTTTGTTATGTAAACCCAACTATATTATGCATATTATAGCCTCTATTTTATTGGTTATACCTTAGGTAATATCGGGCTGCGATTGGGGTAATATTTTGGTGTGGGATGAAGAACTCATCGACGTCGAAGTGACTAGGAAGTTTCGAAAACCGTGTCATTCAGCACCAATCATCATGTTTTTGTACTCCGAAAATGACGCTCTGTTGACGAGCATCAGCATGGACGGTACGATAAAATTCTGGTACTATCGTACAGTGGATACGGCGGACCCACCGGAAAACGACCGTGTACTGGAAATGGAACCGTCGTTTACGATCAGTGTCCAAGATTCTGTGGGTAACGCGAAAATCATGGGCATGTGCAAGATCGACGACAGTGACGACGAATCGAATGATTATTTCATTCAGGTAGGTATAAATGTATAATTAACGCCGAATGAAATTTAGCTAAATAATTAATTGATTATTATGATATTTATGGACTATGGAGGTATATTATTATACTATATAATATGTGATATACAAATATTATATACATAGGCGTGAGCACGGGGGGGGGGGGGCGGCCCCTGGATTTTTCTTTAATAAATACATAGATATCTATGCTATAGTCCAGTCAAGGAATGAGGTGTAGAGTGCGTGAGCAGGTAACTTAGCGATTCCTTCAGAAACTTGTTCGGGGGGCTTAGGGTATTAACATACTAAAAGTCCTGACACCTAGGTGGTGAGCCGGAGGGGGGAGGGGGGTTAAAGTTGCGCTTTTTGGGTTTTTCGCTTATATCTCGTAAACGGTGCATCGGAGGAAAATTTTTTTAAATAACAAAATAAAGCTCATGAAATTATCTAAAACTTTTATATCATATGTTTTTTTCGAATTCACAACCGTTTTCGAGCTACACCTTCGAAAAAAGTAGAATATTACAAAAAAAACCATTTACCTCCCTATATTCATAAAACAATCCATCATATTGTCTAAACCTATTCATAAACTAAAAATATGAATAGAAAAGAAGTTGTAGATATTTAAATTCACTTTCAGAATATATACACATATATTAATTGTTAATCTCCAAGCTGCCTAAATTTATAGCTATTTTACAACTTTCATAACATTTTGCAATTTTCAGAAAATGTATAGGTATATCATATTCTTGACCCACAACCTTTGTTCGTTTATGTAATAATATATGTGGCCACACTTTTAAGAAGTAAAACAGACAAAAATAATGATAATACACACTTTATTTTACAGATAAGTAGTTCTCAAGTAATTCTTAATTTTACATGCAATCATATTTTCATTTTCTTTGAATTTGAGGGCCCAGGTTGTTCATCCATTGCATCTTTGTCTGTAGTAATGGGTGCCTCTTGCTCTTCATCGTCCTCATCTTCAACAGGCACGCTGTTCATGCATTTACCTTGGCAGTGGAGGCACGCTGCAGAACAAGTCAGCATTGCTTTCCGGCAGCCACTTTTTCCAATCATACAATATCATATCACGGAGCAGGTTTTAGGCATAAATAAAGTCCGATAATGTTAGTCAATAATTAGTTATCTATACATATAAAATCCAAATACCACTGACTCACTGATCGCTGTATCTCAAAAACTACTCAACGTACGGACTTGAAATTTGGAATAGAGGTTCTTCTCATATTTTCACCGTGCAATAAGAAAGGATTTGCGAAAATTCGCATTTTAAATAGGTGCTCAAACAGGGACATTGAGATTCACGATGGAAATTGGAAATTTTATTTTTATTTATTAATAGTTGCCATTGGTTACAGTCTACAGTAGAAATTAGCATTTATTTATTGGTTGCCATTGGTTATTTGGGCAGATCAGGTACAAGCTTGCATCAAATCGAAATATTGAACATTGCCTACCAAGGTGGCTGAGTTGCACTTACCGCAGCAAGTTACACCCAAAAGGAGTTCAACAATCATAATTTTTTTAAGAGTTGCGATTTTTTACGAGCAACCAAATTTGTTATATTAATCCACCGTATTATATCAAAATAAACTTGGTATAACTTTGATATTTTAGAGTTAAATCATACACTTCCGTATAAATAGCACGGGGTTCGCGATCTACCTGATAATGTACTGCTGCGATTCAGAATTTTTATTAAGGGCAACGGAAAAGATAAGATAAATTTTGAACACCATACACCGCGAATATTGAATAACGAATTGAACAAAGTTTGAGTCATATTGAGTTGATACATTTATCGGGAGACGAAGTACACGGGGATCAGCTAGTAATATTATATAGACATACGGGTAACGGAATGACAAGTTGAACACTCGAACATTTCCAAATATTTTCTATTATATATTTATATCTATATTTATTACTAGCCAACAATATTATAGTCTATCATTAAGTTTATAATCGCTATTAATATTTTTAGAAGTTGGATGGAAATTATGATTTTATGAACAAATGGTGATGTAGTTTAAATTTATATAAGTAATAAGTAGAATATGTAATATAATATGTTGTATAACATTTTTATTGCAAGAATAAATTGAAAAAAAATTAAAAACTCAATTTATGCATATATTAATTTTTTAATAAACACAAATGCCCTAATCTAGATGTTTTTTGAGGGAGGGTCATCCAAGGAAAGGGGTGGCAGAGTAAAAAATGAAAAAAACGAATATGGTAGATAATATGATGGATTGTTTTATGAATATAGTGAGGTAAAATGGTTTTTTTTTGTAATATTCTACTTTTTTCGAAGGTGTAGCTCGAAAACGGTTGTGAATTCGAAAAAAACATATGATATAAAAGTTTTAGATAATTTCATGAGCTTTATTTTGTTATTTAAAAAAATTTTCCTCCGATGCACCGTTTACGAGATATAAGCGAAAAACCCAAAAAGCGCAACTTTAACCCCCTTCCCCCCCTCCGGCTCACCACCTAGGTGTCAGGACTTTTAGTATGTTAATACCCTAAGCCCCCCGAACAAGTTTCTGAAGGAATCGCTAAGTTACCTGCTCACGCACTCTACACCTCATTTTGGGTCATTCATTGACTGGACTACTATACTAAATAGCGAACATTTTTACATTTTACATGGAAAGTGAACTGCAGTTTTAATCTCATAGTTTATATATCTGTGAATAAATGTAATAAAGTTATCATCGATCATCAGTTATCATCGACCAAATGATTTATTATTATTACCTTCGACCAAATAATAACTATGTAGTTTATATGGTCGAAGATTATTACAGAATACCTACTCTACTATCCACTATATTAGCTAGTGGACTGTTTTTTTTTTTTATCACAGTGTATCTATCAATTAGGTAGGTACTTTATTTATATATTTACGTTATTTCACGGTTGTAACTTGTAGATAATATTATATACCACATAGGTTAGTTAAAATAGTAACTATACAAATAACCAATATTTTAGACCTAAAAAAACATAATATTCTTATTAGTTATTACCTACGGACTACGTTAAACTTTTACATATTATACCTATCTAGTAAATAAAATACTGTTATAATGAGTGAAAAGAAGATCAAATAGCAGGAGAATAATCATTAAGGTCATTAAAGTTCTCACTTTTTTTAGAAGTTGAATTTTGTCCGGAGTGACCCGTCAAATGGGGTAACTTTGGACACTTACCTACCTATTAGATTTCATTAAAATCCGATCTTATAATTACAAAGGTTCACTTCAGACAATATAGATATTAAAAAAAAAAAATTTTAATAAATTGAAATAAAAAACCCCATACATTAATCGCAAATACAACATAATTTATTTAATATTCTAAAATAATAATTCTTTACTTTTCTATAATTATGTCAACTTAAAATTTTTACTTTTCTGTTTTTACTTATTGTGTTGTCATTTTTTTATAGCTAACACCATCAACGACATTTTAAATATCATTAGGATTATAATCTTTATATACCTACCGGCGACCTCCTACATTGTTGATACATATGATCTGGGCAAAGTTAATGTGTTGTCCGAAGTCACCCCACGTTTGGTAATAATTAAGACGATTTAACACCACTGTTTTTGGAACTTTGACTGATGGCTGGATGGCTGGTTAACCAAATGACGAATCTGAAATCACAATTGATTTATTATTATTTATCATAGGATACGTACGACAAACGTCGTATAAAGTAAATGGCAAAAGACAAAATACTACATTTATGATTTGTCATTATGATAATTTATATGTACAATGTACCTACCTATATGATTTTATAATTTTCTTTCCTTCAAATGTGGTCATCATCACATCATAAACAATGTATGTGAAATTAAAATAGTGTTCTAACTTCTAACACCAAACACTAAAGGCTTAACTTAGGCCCACAAAAAAATTACGCCCAGGAATCAATCCCCATATTCACCATCCTAGCTCTGCCTTTTTATATATATAACTGTGGTCTATAGTGTAATTTTACCTTAAAGTTTATTTAGTTTTACCACAGATTACCTAGTTACCACTGACTGCCCCTCCCCCCCCATAAGAAATTACCCCAGATTAAGCCTATATATATATTATATTATATTTATATACAAGGTGTAACAGAATGACCTGACAAATTAAACAAGTAACTTGTGTTTTAACTTCTAATCAATATTTGACCATTTTTTTTTTTTATAAATATAATTTTTAGACGCTTGGGCTACAAGTTTTTATTTTTATATATTTAATACAAAAAATAACAATTTTAAGATTTAAAATACGTAACTATTAGTTTATAAATATAATTTAAAAAAAAAATCATGTAAAGACGTTTATTTTTTATAATTTTTTAAAGTATCAATATTTTTTTTTTAATTAATATACCTAGGTATATATATTATGCAGGTCACTTATTGAAAAAAAACAATAATTGTCCAACAGATAATCAATATATTTTATTTTATTGTTATAAGTTTTGAATGTTTTGACCCTACAACTGCTACAGCTTTAAATAATATTACCTATATAGGGAAATGAAAATAACATAGATACAATATTATATAGGTATGTCAATATAATATAAACAATTAGACAACCAAATGTTTTTATTTGAATTATATTGTGATAATATAAAATATTTATACTTATCCTAAACTTTTTGATTTCAATAAACTTTTTTTTTTATTAACTTTTCCTGACAGTCATCATCTAAACTTATGTAGGTATGTAAAATTAAATTTTTTAACATTTGAAAATTGGATCTCAATATATGGAATAAACTTTTTTTGTCACACCTGCACCGAAAGCTTAGTTTTCGATGACTGCTGAAGAAATGTTGGAAAGCCACTATTTTCCGTCCAGCGGGCTGTAAAGTGGGAATCCCCAAAAGTGCCTGACGGTAAAGTGGAAATCCCCAAAAGTACACGTCGCCCTCGACTGAAATAACTTACTTCCCGCCCATGATAAACAATATACTATTATGTTTTGTCGGTTTCGTCTTTTAATAATTCGTACATGTATATTTTAGGACGGTAACGGGGGAATGTGGCTCGCTGACATCGTAATGGCCGCAGACGCGAAACCGCTTAGACGGCTAGCCAAGTTCCACGGTAGTGAAATAACTTCTTTGCAATCATCGCCCGTCGGTTATTATATCTCTACCACTTCGTTGGACGGTTGGCTCCACGTGCATGATGTCCTAAACAAAAAGTTGGTATTCACTCACGATTTCAAAGTGCCAATCACTTCGTCAATTTGGTTACCACTGAAGGTATATTATATGAACTATTCATAATATAATATTTTATGAAAGTGTTGTCTTTTTGAACTACGGCCTGCATTGAAGTACAGTGTTGGGGAAGTTACCTACTTATTTTTGGCAATTAAATTACAGTAGGTAGGTACTAATAATTACTTATCAAAATTGTAAATAAATTATTTTTAAGTTTTTTATTCTTTTTTTGTTTGGTTAAGTTACATTACTTTTGAGTTTAAAAAGTAACTAAATTACAATAGAAGTTACTTTTTTTTTCAAAAATCTCACTGGACCTTAATAATTATGTTGTCAATACAACAATACATACACTATATAATGACAACCAATAATATGAAATTATTAACAGATAGGTACTAGTAGTATATATATACCAGTCCTGGCGCAGCACCTTTAAGGTGCACTTTAATAATAATATATCAGTAAAAGATCACAAAGAAAACAATGTGCAAAAAGATCAGAAAATTGAAATGCAATAATAATTAAAAAAATTTTTCGCAAAACTTATGAAATGCAATAATTATAAAAACATTTTTCACAAAACTTATGAAATGCAATAATAATAAAAAAATCGAAATGCAATAATAATAAAAACATTTTTCGCAAAACTTATTAAATACACCCAAAATATTTTTCATAATACTTATGATATTAATAATTTTGACGCGGTCGAATTATACGACCGCGTCAAAATCGAAATGTAATATAGTGTATTAAAAAATATTTTTAAAGAAATTGAATACCTTAGTTAAAGGAATTGATATTTATAATAAAAGAATGGAATCTATAAACAATTATAATAAGTTACAAGAAACCGAAATGCAAGACGAAGTAGAAAACTATATATTAAATAAAAAAATAAAAAAATGTAATGTGATATTTTGTGCTTTTGATTATTATGAAGATAATGAAAATATAATAAAATATAATCTTAATAAAATTCCAATTAAAGGAAAAATTGTAATCATCGAGAACCATTCAGAACCAACTTATGTTTATGTTTCTAAATGTCTACATTCACCAACTTGGTTAGAACTTTGTAAAATAGCTAATGATCAAATAATTACAAACAGTCCAGTTTCATTCAAAAAACTCCATGATATTAGTGTAATGAAAACTTTAGGAGATATTAAAATATGTTCTTTTGATATGACAAAACTTTAGGAGATATTAAAGTATGTTCTTTTGGTATGACAAAACTTAGAATATAATTATATTATTAATTTAATTTTTTAATAGAATTGTTCTATTAAAAAAATGTTCAATATTTAACGCGTGTCCCATTCGGACACACGTTATTAAAATCCAAAAATCTTTAAAAACGATTTTACACTATGATACTATGAGGGGGACTTATAAAGAATTAAAATCAAAAATGTTTAATGTAAAAATGAAGATTATAACATAAATAGCAACGGAGTTATACTTAAATGAAAAATATGAAGCGGGGGGTAAACTTTTAATATGTAGTGTAGATAAGCATATAAAACATATCTGTGTTGATCCGACTTGATAATATCAAATATTAAATGAAATATAGGACATATACGATCGTGTTATTTTTTAATATTTTTAATAGAAATATGGAAAAAAAATGCAAAAAATCTACAAAATCATTCCCAGCTTTGCAGATACCCGTTAGGAAAAAAGGAGGCCGGAACTCTTTTACAGATATCTGCAAAGCTATCGTGGGCAGTGAAGTTACCCAAGTGCTTTATTCAGTAGGTCAACGACAGTTTTTCAGTAGATTGCATAGGTGTGTGCACCCACCTATACAATCTACCGTAAACGTCTTCAAAGCCTGATGAAATTAGTAGGTGAACATGGGCGCCACACGTTCTCCCACTAGTTTCAATCCGACCAAGAACACATTTTAAATCAAACGCGTTACCGACTGAGCTACAACACTTGGGCATGTATAATGATTATTTAAACACTATTTAAATAATTCGATAAAAAAAACATCATAATATAAACTATACATATATATTATGATAAGGTATTCAATACCGGATGTTAAAAAAATAATCAGTACAACGTTGATATATATATTATTATTATTATTATTATTATTATTATTATTATTATTATACCACACTGTATAGGTACTATAATATATAAATATATAATACTTCGTAAGTATTATATTCGATTTAAATTTTCAAAGTTTAAAAAATAATCATTCTAGCTGCATATTATTATTATTATTATTCGAATCATATAATTCCTCTTGTATTAATTTACGTAGTTCGTTTATTGAAAGTTTAATTTCATTATAATTTTTGTTTTTAATAAAACTTAAAATATTTTCGAAACAACAATTACTAATGAAACGGAAGTTAAATGATTTTAATTGATTATGTTTTTTGTAATAATCATATTTTAAAAGATTTTCAAAACAGCAATTACCCATTATATGATTCCATAACTTATTACTAATTTCACAGTCAATATCAATATCAATATCACTATCATTAAATATAGGTCTTAGGATTTTACGTTGTTGTTCAATCATATTTAAAAGTGTTTTGATATTTTCCATTTCTATTATTTATATTAGTAAATATATTTTTTTTTTTAACATCGAATTATTAAAACAACGAGTTGTTAAAAAACAACGTTAACATAAAAAAACAACGAGTCGTTAACAACTCGTCAACGACTCGTTTACTCGTTGACTCGTTTACTCGTTGACTCGTTTACTCGTTGTTAAATATATATTAAACAAGTTGTTATTTTTAATAGAAATATTTCTATTAAAAAAATAAAATATTTAAATAAATTTTTTATAATTTTCAATAAATTCTAAACATAAATGACCACATATAGGTGGATCATTATAGTATTGAAATTGGGAAACAGTACAAAAAAGATTATCTTTACCCAAATATTTTAAAAGTTCTTTTGGTGGCTCACCAACTATATGACCAAATGGGTCAAAATATATTTTAAATGTATTGTTTATTTTTTTCCATGCAACCCAATGAGAACCATTTTGAGTAGAATCATTTAAATTAAATACTCCACATTCATTTTCCCATGGTGTTGTAGGTAATTCATTTAACATAAAACACCCTCTATAATTTTTTATTTTATTTCCAAAATAATTTATATCTATATTACTCAATGGATCAATTTTTACATTATTTTTTTTAATCCAAAACCGTCAAATTTTTCAATATTATTTCTAAATGTTGTTATTTCAAATTTATTCATTTTTTCAATTTTTTTTTCAATATTTTTTTTTTTTTTTTCAAGCCAGAACCTTGTGATCTAATTTTTTCCATCTCTTTATTATGTCGAATTGTTTCTTGTTCCATTTTTTTTTTGTGTTTAGCATCAGTTACTGCAGTATAAAGTGCACTAGCACCTGCAGCCAAAGCACTTACACCTTCAACCACAGCAATAGCTATTGGTAAAAATCCACCTTTTTTAATTTGAACATGTTTAAGTTCTAAACTTGATCCGGTATTATTTTTTTTAGCGTTTTTTAATTTTCTTATTTGTTCTGGCTCAAGAATAAATTTATGTTTTCCACTATCAATTTGATTATTTTCAATTAGAATTGATACATCTTTATTATTTTTATGAGCTTTCAATATTTTATTAAATTGTTTTTTATTTAAATTTAGATTCATTTTATAATACAAAATATTAAATTAAATTAAATTAAATTCATTCCAAATCGTCTTTTAACATTCATTACATTTGCTGTAAAAATGGCTGCAGTTTTTTCACCTATAGAACTATGAGGATCATAAAATCTTTCCATTGCTTTTTGTTCTAAAATTTTATCAGCAATATGTCTTGTTTTAGTATCTTTATTATCTTTATAAAAATAATCATGTTCTCTCGCAGCTTCATCTAATTTGTTTTTAGGTTTTTTATTTTTTTCTAACTTTGTTCCCGGTCCTAAATAATTATAGCCAGGCCAATGCATTTCAGGTAAATTTGAACAATTCAAAAGATAATTAACAATTCCTGAACCTGTAATAATTTTCTTTGGTAAACATGAAACATATGATGATAAATAATCTGCACCGTTAATAGGTATATCAATTAATTTTTCCATTTCTCTAATACAAATATTAAGAATATCAAGTTTTTCATCATGGTAAATATTATTTCCTATACTTTCTTCAATTTATATATACTGTATACGTTTAATTATTTTTTCTTTTGATATTTTCACTTCCTTTGGTAAACAAGTTACATATTTTAGTAAATATTCAATACCTTCAGGAGTATCAATAAGATTTTCCATAATTGATTTAAATAAATGAACAATACCAAGTTTTTCGTTTTTAAAATTATTATTTCCAGCTCTTTCTTCTGAAGAAATAAACTGTAAATTATCTATCACTTGGTTTACATTACTAATATAACGATATTCAATACGATTTTCTGTGTATTTCTTTAAACCCTCCCCTATTTGATTATCTTCAGCTAATATTTCATTATTTTCTTTTTTTTCAATAATTTCATTATCTTCATTATTTTCTTTCTTTTTATTATTTTTTTTCTTATCAGTTGTTTCTGTCATTTATTTCCAAATCGAACTAATCATAACCTTATATTTTTCACTACGACTTGATTTAGCTCTTTTCGTTGAAGGATCATTGTTTTGATATATAGAATTAGTTTCAAATAATATATTTTTATAAATATTAAATTCATCATCATTATAAAATTGTTTGGGTGTAGGAACTTGATGAGTTAATAATCTCCATAAACCTGGTGTTCCTATATATCTTTTTTCATTTAAAATTATATCATCATTATCAAGATCGATTATATCTTTTCCAATCATATAAATATCATCTTTCTCATTAAGATATATTCCAAAAGAATTAGTATCTTTTACAGTTTTTAAATATTTTGATGCAATAGGACCTAAGTTTATAATATTTTTAGGTAATGGAGAATTACTTGTTGAATTTTGACTAGAATATTTTGGAGTTCCAAAAGTCTCTTCTGAACTTGTTAATCGTTTTAATTCTGGATTTCTAGTATGTATATTT